AAAAAAAAGTGATCCAATCATCATCTCTAAATGAAGTTCTGGTTGAAAATTGGAACTAGTTAGTAATTTAGAAAATCTTAGAGCATTTTTAAATTATCAAAAAATTCGAAAAAAATACAAATACATATATTTAAATTTTATACCTGAATTCCGATGTCAATCACTCCTTCGCCTACTTAAGGATTGAAAAACTTCTTTGAGAGTGATTACTGGTTTCTAGTAGCAAATTGAATCTATTTGGTACCTTTTAATATCCCTTGTTCTTATATCTTAATAATCGGAAAAAATAAAAATAGTGAAAAACTGGAGTATGATCACAGCAACGCCAATTTAAGACAAAATCAATTTTGTTATTTTATTGTAATTCAAAAACGAATAACCGTAAATATTTGAATTGTTAACCAAATGTTTATATTAGCATTTTCTTGATAATGATTTACAAAATATAAGCTACATTGTATAGACATTTTAAAATTTTATATTTTATTTTTCGATTTGCCTATGCACATATAGTGAAAACATAATTTTTTTATTAGTGAAATATCGCAATTAATAATTTATTTATTGTTAACGTTTAAATTTTAATACGTAAAACTCATCAAAATGAAGAAAATATGTAAATTATATTGAAGTACACTCAAAAATGTTAGAATATAATTTCTACAGAAAACGTATAAAGGTACAGATATAATGAGTATAATAAAATTACATAACACATATTACCTAGGTATAGGTAATACCTACCTTGTACTTACTTCAATACTAAAACGGGAAGATGTGACCTAGTGACATTACTACATCAGTACCAGTTCTTATGAAATATTGTTGGACTATCAATTATGTTTAATAGGTACCTACCTATTTATTAATAATAGGCACGATTCACGAGTTTTATACATTCGTAAGAATGCATTTAATAAAATTATCAACATACTATCAAAATATTATTAATTAAAATTGTATGACAGCATGTTTATCATAGAAAACTTCTTTTTTTTTTTTAAATTATTTATTAAAATTAAAATGTAGCAACATTGCAACATATTACATGTTGCAATAAGTTATAGTTATTACTTATTAATAACAATTTAGAATTGTAAATATAATATATTATATTATATCGTGTTCGTGTTATGGATGTACGAAATATGCGGTGTGTGTGTTATCGGGTAGGAGCAATGGGGAGTATCCGAGTATGATTTTGTTTATTTAGGATGTTAAAACAGTAAGGGGGTTTAGTATAGATTTTAGTTCATCGAGGAATTTGGTGATGATGTATAAAGATTGATCGAGTGGTGGTTTGTTAGCTGTGATTTCGGCATATGACGGTTTTTCATTTGAGCTTGAACTGGGGACTTCATTTCCACTTCTTCGAGATGAAGGTGGTATAGAAAATTTTGGAATAGGATGATTTCCTTTATTTATTTTTTTAACTTGAGATTTGGTGAGGCTTATTATTTTTTTGAAGTATTGGCATCCTTCGTAATTAGCGTAATTAGCAGTGTGATTACCACCGCAGTTTGCTCATTTTGTGAGTTCCTCTCATTTTTTTGTACATTTATCAGTGCAGTGTTCTGATCCACATTTCACGCAGCGTGGATAGCGCTGACAGTAATTACGCGTGTCCGTATTTTTGACAATAGTGACATTGAGGAAGATCGAACGAACCGTCTCTTTGGATATTTGAATTTTACTATTGACTTAAATATTTTTTCATAGAAAACTAAATAATAAACAATGAAAATTAAACTTTTTATATTTAAAAAAAATGAGTACTGAAATAAATAAAAAAGTATCAATGCCTAAAAGAAACTCCATGTAGAATTTCTGAAATTAAAATAAACTTCTGAAATTCTAAATATTCCTATTCTTCACCAAAGTACCTAACGTTAAATTAAAAGAAAATTATCAAAATGATACGTTAATCCCCAAATTAACAGCTTTTATGAATTTCTGACATAAATTTCCTTTTATAAAAAACTAAAAAGCAAAACGCATAACTACATTTTCCCAATAAAATATGTTTGTAATAACCTTTACCAGTTACAAAGCCAATCACCTACACTCTTAAAAGCAATTCCATTGTAATTTAAAAATTAATACTATTAGTGAACAAAAAAGAATTTGAATTATTGAAGTCATGAAAACATTTTTCAAGTGATTACAATTTACAAGAAACCTGCTTTTCCAGGCGTAAAAAAATGCGTAATTTAAGCAATGTAGACATAAACGTTTTGTGGCGGCCGGAGGGTAGCAAAATGGGGCAGTTGTATAGGTTTTTAATTGTGTTTGTCCTTATAGGTACACAGTGGCGGAGCAAGAACAACCACATTTGAGATAAGCGTAACTTTGAGAGGGGACATCGCAGCAAAATATCGCCGAACATCTCATTATTTAGCATGTGACGGGAAGTTAAGTTGCAATGGCGCAGTGCAATATTCAATATCGCTAGTTTACTAGTAAAAACATTTTTCCGAAATAATGAGTTAATTGTGGCTATACACAACGCGCAATCCGCACGTAATCGATCTCCATCCGCGTGCAGTTGTTACCAACCGTTGACCTATTTTAAAATGGGTTGAGGGTTTTTGGAAACATGGTAAGGTGGCCCTAAAGATTCCTAGACGGATGATTTAGGTCGGTGGTTGGGAATAACTGTACGCGGGAAGAAACCAAATCGCGTGCGGATTATGCGTTGTGTAGCTACGATTGAAACATTGTTTCGAAAAAATATCTCTATACAGCGAACGAGCGATGTTGAATATTCCTCTGCACCATTTCTTACTAAACAATGAGACGTTCGGTAATATTATGCAATGTCCCTTCCCAAAGTTACGCTTATCTCAAATGTAGTCGTTTTTGCTCCACCACTCTGTTTATCTGTACATCAGTATTAGAGCTAATATATTTTAAAATAATGAATTGTTATACAAAACCTTACCTTATTGTAGTATTATATGCTAACTTAGTAACAATTCATTAGTCAACAATATTAATAAATCCAGTTAAAACAAATTAATTGTTTTTTTTTTTTTTTTTTTAATTACCTAAGAAAAATGTATGCAGGTGCCATGATTATAGATTTGAATATTTCTAATGCTATAAGAACAACTTAGTAACTGTACATCAGGAAGTATTAAAAAGTAAAGGGGATTATATTAACATAAATATACAAATTACAATATTCAAAATAAAATAACTATATTTTGATAAAATTATACACAGAACAATATAGTTTATTATGTTGTTGAACAAATTAATAATAATAATAAATATTATAATAAATATAATATTATGTAACAGTATATATATACATATATATATAATACACACACACACACATATATATATATATATATATACTGTTATTATTAGCAAAGTAGCAATCAAACAAACTTAAACACTTATATGATATACACTATTTATAAATAAATATAATTTTAATAAAAGTTATGTATAATAATCACCCAAATTTAATTTTAAATAAAATAATTTTAGTCACAAAAATTCTGGGTAATTTAGATATAACACATTTTATTAAAAATATATTTTAAAAATGGGCTTAAAATTTGGATTCAAAATTCAGTTATTATTTAATAATTATACATATACTTTAAGAAAAAAAAAACAAATGTATTTTAATCTACTTTAAAAATACTTAAAATATTGGAAAATACAATGAGCGATAAAAATTAGCTATACTCTTTAAATTGCAATCAGATTAAATTAATTATATTCGTAAAAATTAAAAGATGAACACAATCATTAGAAATTTGATTTGACAAATTTTAACTCAATTTCAAGTAAGAGCAATGGGCAATTCAAAAGATGAAGAAACAATAATAACATATAATGTTTTCTAAATTAAAGTATTGTTTAAATCAAAATATAAATATATTTTTAATATAATTATTCATTAAAAATGTTAGATGATACAAAAACTTATTACTTAATTTCAAATGATTACATACATATTCGTAATTCAATTTAGACGTACCAAAAATAGAATAACTAATCCAAATTGTATGAAAACTATTAATAATTTTAATAAATACTACTATTATCTCAATCTTTTGAATTTATTTTCATTATAATTAAAAAGAAACCCTGTGAGCAAATTTTAGTCTTATACAATTAAAAACTTGACTTTATTCCTAGTTTATATATATATATATATATTTATGTATATATCTTTCTTTAAATTATATGGCAATAGACACAAACTATTAGATTTTTTTTTGTTTAAAATCCAATGTTTTTGAACAATAAAATAAAATACAAGATATCTAATCCCATTCCCATAAACTAATATTATAGTTCTTAAACAATGTTATTAAATTTAAATACTAACATTATAACTAAAATAATAGTATTAACAAAATAATTAAATTAAGCAACACACTTTATACAATACAATTGTTAAAATATTAAAAAAACTATCACACTAAATAAACATTCCATAATATTACTAATGAAATTATTACATAAAATAAAATTTCTGTCCTTAAATAATTTTTTTTCCTTTAAGTAATTGTTATGTTAGGTATCAAAGACTCATCAAACATTTTTATTTATTTTACTTGATATTAAACTTAATAATTAGCAAACCATGCGACTAGTGTTTCACAATTAACATTAGTAAAATAAACTTAATATGATAGATTATTTTTTGAATGGAAAATGAAGAAATTAATATTGAATTAAAAAGACAAAACAATTATCAGTCTTCATTATAATTATTTAAGAAATTGTAAGTAATATGTGTAAAGTAAACATTACAATTACACATTTATAATAACTATTGGTATCAATATAAGAATTTACTTTTAAAATATAAATGCACTCAAATGTGTGCATTATATGTGTTTATATATATTAAAATGTCTAGGTTTATATGCATATGAAATAGCAAATCAAGTTTTTAGTTTAAAAAATATATTAGACTCAAGTCTATAATCTTGATAAATAACATAACAAACTAAATTTAAAAATATCTATAATGTCCAAAATTAATTTTTTTTTGTGTGTTTTTTTTAACTATATATTCATTTTAAAAATGTTAAAAAAATAACATGATTTTCTTAATGATATTTAGAGACATTACTTTAGTTTTGGCGACTCAGTTGAGTTTTCTTCAATTGTCGACGATCCTTTTTTATTTAATTCAAATGTTACCTTTGTTATTCTAGGACCTTTCGAGTCTCCAGATTTCTCACCTAAATGATTTATATATTTTTTAATTAAACCTATTAAAATTGCAAATTAATTATTATAATTGAATAGAAAACTTACCAACAGATAAATATCTTCTTCGGGGTAATAACGAGTTTTTACGCCAATTTTCATCATTAGTTGATTGAACGTTAGAAGTAATATTTAATGGCTTTGTTATAACATCTGATGAATTTTTCAAAGTATCAAGAGTAGAATTTTCAGAATAACTACGGTGACGTTTCATGCGTGCCATTTTGCGCATAGATGCATCCAAATAACCTTCACTTTTAGGTAATTGCTAAAATAATATTTAAATTTTTTTATAAGCTGACCAATTATTTATTTAATGTCTTTAACTCTTATTACCTCTTCTGCTTTCCGGAAATCTTCAATTGTTTTAAACTTACTTAAAAATTGCTTTAATTTGGGATCTACTTGAAGCGTTTTACTATACTTGTAATACTCCAAAAAGGCCCAAAATTTTTCCAAACCATAAAGTTGACCTACAGTTTATCCATAAAAATTTGAACATTTTTAAATTTTTTTTTAAATTAAATATAAAAATTAATAAATTACCATTTTCATAATCTCTAATAGTTTCTGCTTGGAAATCTTTGTATAATTCTGGTCGGAATTTCCTTTCAAGACCATAACTATAGTAACGAAACAAACATTCCAACCCATACCTACAACAACAAAAATATGTATAACAATATAACTTACATTTACATAATTCCAACAAACCTAAAACCATTATTTGAATCCTCTACAGCCAAAGATTGGAACTCTTTATACATGTTCTTATTAAAATTGTCCCGCAAGAAAAATGACCAGAATCTATATAATGTATTCATTTCTTGAGACATTCCTGGCCCAAGTCTAAATCTCTCTAGAAAAAAAAAAAATAAAGAAAATTTTTTAAATTATTTTTATCTTCAATAAGTTATAATATTAAATTATCAAAATTAAACAGTATTAAAGAATATTTTTAAATGTAATTATTATACACACCTTTTAAACAACGTGAATGATATTTATGGTATGCTTGTTGAGTAAAATTATTTTCCATAAGTAATGCATGAGAAGGGTGATGGAAAGTTGGCAATGATTGAGGTGTGCTGGATAGAAAACCTTCACTTGGACTAGGACTAGTGCCTAATGTTCCACTGCTGCAAACAAAATAAAGTTTAACATAAACATTTTTTTTTTATATACCATCAGAATTGAGCATATGAAAACGTAGTCAAATAAGTATATTACTATTTACATTTAAATAAAATTGAACATTATAAATGGTACTTGCCACAAAAACAAATAAATGTGCATTTTATAACATGTATCAAAACTTTGTTGAAGATTTTCTGTTATTAAATGTATATGCCATAAATTAAAGGGGCCACCAATTTGCAGCTTATGTTTTAGTCAGACGGTAATTATCTTATTTATGAAATAAAAATTTACTTATTATTATGAATTTAAATTTTCGTGATTAAAATTTATAAATATTCTTTAAATTATATAAAATATATTGTGAACATTTTAGCTTTTGTCATTAGTGTATTTAATCATATAGCTAGCAAACATATTCATGATAGCCACCCCTGCCAAACATAGATAAAATTATAATATACATACAGTACATCGATAAAATGCAAATAAATTGTTTTTTTTTTATACATGTAGGGTTTCATTTTATCAATGCTTTAATTTTTCATTATGTGATAATAGTAAACTTATATCTATATAATTTAACAATAAGAGGTTTTTAAAGCTTCAACTAAGTACTATATGGAGTACTGTAGTCACCTATCACTGATAATAATATACTATTTACTATTATATATATTAAACATACAATTACTAAAATTATATTACCCAAACGATGTTGTACGAGGTCTAGAATGGGCACGAGAGTCCAATACCCAACCTACATGATGTTCACTGTCCACATTAAAACGACTTCGTTTTCTATGTCCAGATTCATCAATATCTCCATAAAAGTGACGACGATTTGGCTTTTGTAAGTCAAACTTCACTTTAGTCTTAGTCTGTGTTGCAGTATGAGTTTTAACTTGTTTATTTTCAATTTCCTAATTAATAAAAATGTTAAAATAATTCAATTGTAATAAAAAAGTATATGAATCAATTACTTTTTGTTCATTAGATTCCATTATTTCTGTTAAATTATCAACATTTAGAGAAGGTGGTGGTGGTGGAGGAACTTGATTGACTTTTTTGGGAGCTTTTGGTACAAGCCTTTCAAAAACTTCTTGCGTAACAACATTTACAGTTTTGTAAGATGATGTTTGATTCTAAAGAAAAATATATTAAGTGACAATTGGATGAATATTATTTATTAATAAATACCGTAGAATTTGTATGCCACAAGTCTTCTTCATATAATCTTAAGCCTAAGTCAATGGCGTGTTCTAGATCTTGAGTCATTTTTACACGGGTTGTCCTATCATGTGATCGATCTTCAATCTTTTGAGAGCGACTTATCATTTTTTGTGTAATTATCATGAGTTTATCAATATCTTTATCATCAAAATCATCTTTATCACCATAATCAGATTCATCACTATCCGAACTTCAAAAACAAACCATCAGGAAAAAAAAATTAATATAATTTTACATAATTTCACCATAAAATTGAATATTTAAAACAAATTTAAAATTACCCAATTGGATCTTCATTAAATTTATTTATTTTTCCACATGGTACAACAGCAAGATCTTCATCAAACTGAAATCCAAGATCCCATGAACTTGATGCATGACTATCAACTTGATTCTCAGAAAAATTGCGTTTGGATATATTAGATGCTACATTTTGTGTTTCTGATGTCACAGCAACATTGTTTTTAGGTTTCGAGCGTCTTTTAACCTGCAATATTAATTTAGTAATTTATATACTCAAGAAAACTAATAATAATAATTATTTATTTATTAATACTATATTGGCTAAGTTCAGTTTAAATATTTAATCTCAATATATATAAAATAAGAATATTATTCATTAAGAAATATCATAATATAATTGATTATTGTTAAAAATAAAAACATACTTCTTTCCACGATTCTTTATCGTCTAAAACTTCAACAGATACACTTTTATTGTTGTTGTATTCTTCTTTAATTGTATCAGACTTTAAATTAGCTATTTAAAAAATAAAATTAATCTCTGAATATTTCATACAATATAAATAAATACATTATTTTATCTTTATCTTATTAGCGTTATTTTTACAAATAATAAGAATATTTTTTTAAGTAATATTTCAAACTATCATAGATCAATTTGGTAACTATTTTTTTTTATTTTTTATTTTAAAGCAAGTTTATTAAAATAAATATATACCTCGTCAAGAAACAGGCCCAAACAACATTAGCTTGTATGTTTGCTATAATTAAGTCATTGTAATTGTATGCTTAAAACTATTGTAATACGTTAAAATTTAAACATATATTGATAAAAGTGGTTATTTTTTAAATGGTTTTTCTTCATATACTGGCAAGTCATAATTATACTCTAAAAATTTTAATGAATAAGAAAAAAAACAGATACAGAATAATTTTCAAATTTTTTTTCATAATTGTTCACCATATAAATAAAGAATATACAATAGCAGTTTTACTGTACTGTGTATGAAATATATAAATATTACTGGTATTTACAACTAATAAAAATATACATTAAATAATTTAATTTAAATTTTATAAACATATTATTAAAATAATGTAAATAAAGAGTATCTGATGTTAAAAAGTATCATCAAAATTAAATAACAAAATGCTTAATCATTAATATTCTTACCAAGTTTAGAATGTTGACCATTGGATTTATTGGGTATTTCAATAAGTTCATCAATATTGGTAAAACAAGTATCTTTTGTTTTTATTTGTTCACAGTCATTTTCATTTCTATCACAGTTCTCTTCAGTCTTCAATTCTATGGGGCCATTCCTTGGAACGAATTCTGGGACATCAGGATTAAGATTCATGGCAGCTTGGGGATCAGAAACAATGTGTATGCTTGGAGGAGGAGGAGGTGCAGGTAGATTTTTCACCATTAAGTCGGGAGAAATAAGTGGAACAATAGAAGGCGGTCCCATGGGATGAGTATATAATGGATTTTGAGCATTTAAATTATTTTTAAATAAAAATTGTTGAGGTATTTCTTTAAGTGGCCATTTGGTTGGATCAGTTCGGCATCTTACCTAATTAAATTAGAAATTAAAAGGTTAATACACTTAACTTTAAGTTATATGTACAAATGCTAAATGTTTATATACCATGTGACCATTAAGTTCTAATTCTTCCATATCAATCATAGCTTTCATAACAAGGCTAATATCTTGACTAAGTTCTCTTACACGTTTAAAAGATGCAATAAATGTTACAGGAACATAACCCTGTTCATCCATGTGAAACCTGAAGAATGTATCTTTGCAAAGATTATCTGTTGAAAAATAGTAAGATCTGGAAAAACAATATAAATAAATATATCATAGTATTAAACAACTTATTAATAATTATCAACGTACATTTGTTGCTTAAGAAGATTAATCACAGTCTGTTCATTTATCACTGGATAAGTCATAAACGGAACTAATTCACAATAAGGTTGGGTATAATTCAAACGGGATGGACCCGAGTATAACACATCACTTCCTTTAAAATTATAACTAGCCTGAAAAATAAAAGTTTTTAGAGATTATTAGAATCTTGAATTATTTGGGTATTTAAAATCAATATATAATTTTTAATCAAATGTTCATGCAATATTTTGTTAATACTTTAAATAAAAAATTTACATTTTTTCCATCTGATAATGGTTTTTGGGAATTAGTCCTAGGTTCTTCATCTTGAAGCCTATTGCGAGATCGTTGATGTCGTAGATAGCGCATAGGACCTCCATCACGTTTGTCAGAATCAGAAACAGTATTATCTGACAAATCAGAAATCTTACGGCTATTTTTATTTCTAATTTGATTATTACTTTTGTCTCGACCACCTGAGAAAGAATACAGAGTATTAGTATTATCTACATAAATTGTTAATTACATTTATTCTCACCAGATCGATCTCTACGATATTTTGAAAGTCTGCTTCTATAACTGTTTTCTTTTGATATTTCAATATCAAGAGGAGTCCATTTAGAATGTTTAACTGTAATAATATGATATACCCAGGTAAAGCAAAGAATATTTCAACTAAAATATATCATTGTGTTTTTCTATTTTAAAATAAATGCCAAATGGTTAGAAACTATCAGTGACTTTTTTTCTTATAACAGTGCTTGAAATCACATAAGTGTCTCTGTCTTTCTAACATACAACATATCAACATTTACAATCAGCAGTTCCAATTTTATGATTTAAGCTTAAATAAATAAATAGATTTGCTTATAATTCATACTTTAAGGTAAGAACATTATCTGAGTTTTCTAATTGGAATTAAACAATATTTTTATATTTAAATATTAATATTTTACATCTTATAATTAGGAACAAGATTTAAATGTTGTGTATTACATTTAAGTACTGTAGGATAATGCATTTCAAGTACAAAATTTATTTTTGTATAAATGATACTTCAAAAGTGAAATTTATTCTGTATTCTTCACTGTTTTTCTATTTAAAGTTATTTTCTGACCATTTTATTATTTTTAGCAACATATAACGAGGTTAAAATAAACCATGTAAATTAATAATATAAATTAAGAGATTCAAAATAAAGTTTTCATATTTAATTTAATAATGTTTAGGGAATTTTTCATTAATACTTAGTGTTAATTGCTATTTTGTAAATGTAATTATGTCTTTCTTTAATCAAAGTAATAATTGAATAAAGTATTTTCCAGTGACTTATTCATACAAATAACTAATTTTTCAATCAGTGCTACATTACATTAGTGTTTATTTCAAGTATACAGTTTATTTATTAAGTATAATTAAGTTCAGTTTATTTTTATTCAGTAAATTTTTTATTTAGTTAAGATAAAGAAGTATTAAAATTTTAAAATTTAAATTATTGATTTATTCTTGCTGGTATGCCTATCAAATAAAATTAGATTAGTTAAAAATATATAAAAGTAATAATTGTATTGGAAAGAAATTTTAAGTTCTTTTTTAAATATTTTTTTTAAGTTTTTAAGGCATTAAAATCCAGGTCATATCCTTAATTTACATAAAATTAAAATATCCTAAAAATCAAAACGATAGAACATAGATAATGTTCTTACCTTTAAGTTTGAAAATTGGTCCATTCAGTCTAATATTTAAACTAATAACACAAAATTGGAACTGCTGAACTTAAATGTTGGTATGTTATGCATTACTAAAATGGAGAAAACTATGAGAGTAAGACTTTTTTTTAATCTAAAAAAAAGTTTTTAACTTGATTTTATTACTAAGTTGAGAAATAATAAATGTAAATAAAAACCTAAAAAAAATGTATTTATTATTAAATTTTAATGATTAATACCAACCTTTTTTTCGTTTATCAATATTATTTGATTCATTGGATGATGAATGACCAGAATTTGTACCATTGTCTTGTTCATGAACATTTGGGGAGTCATTATTTGTTTCACTTTTTTTAACACCATTCATCTTTTGACAAGACTTTTTAATTGATGTTACCTCATTAGTAGAAGTATGAGCATCTTTAGCAGATGAGGAATTATTAACTTTTGGCAGTTGTGACTGAATATTTGGTGAAGTATTTTCACTCTGCGATATACATTTTTTCTACATGAAAAATAAAATTAATTTAATATACTTATCTAAATTATTTTTAATTTATTAACAGTAATAAAATAAATTAAATTGGTAATATCTATACTTACGTCTGAGCCTTGAGCAGTTCCTAAAGAAGGCCAAGCTTCAATACCATTTAATTCTTTGTTCTAAAAATGACAAATATATAAATACAACATAAAAGAACATTTCTAAAAATAAATGCATTTCAAAATATCTTAAAATTTGTTTCATTTGTATGACACATTAATTAATTTATGAATATATAAAATAATCTTGTAATATTTTTAATTTAAAGAATTTAGTTCTGAAAACAATATTTGAGAAATAAAATTATTTATTAACCATAACAAAGATAACATTATTTTATAAATATAAATATACATAATATTTCCAATTCTATAGTATTAACTTGACATTGAAAATCAAACTGAAAAAATTAATTTCATATATTATGTATTCTATGTTTATATTATGTTGGTAGGTATTAATAGAACCGTATTTGTACCTGATGATACATTTTACATAAGACATTAATTATTTTAAAAACTAATAACATTTTTGAATGTAATATTATTACATAATTTTTAGTTGTTAAATGACAATATGCATTTATAATTCTTTATTCTAAAAAGGGATTTATTTTGTAGTACATCAATCAATACATAAAAATTTAATTTTGGGGAAAATAGTTAACAAATTATCTGTAAGTATTTTAAGTTTAGATGAGTGAAATGGAGTGGAACAAAAGTATGCCATAAAATGCTAATTCACGGTTATACTGGTTTAACCTTTAAATATTTGTAACTAAAAAAAACTACTCATTCAAAATTTAAATTGATAGATCAAAATACTAGTAGAAAGCCTAAATTTTTATTTCAAAAATGTTCTTTAATGACTAGAAATAATTTAAAACACAAATTTTCTGAAATAATGACTGTATTACATTAATTAGATATACCCAGGTCATTACTCATTAGTTTCATAAAAGAACTTCAATAGTAAGGATTAAATAGTTTTGAAACATGATGCAGATTAATGAAGATAATCAGAATAGATTACCCAATAAAAATTATTCTGCATCACATGTAAAAAAAAAAAAAAATTATTTAAATGCCTCGCTATAAAACCATAACATTTCAATACTTCTCCCCTCAGCTTATCAAACAAAAACTGAAAAATAAAAAAAATGAGTGACATAGGGATAAACTAGGGAAGTGTTTAGAACAACTCTGTAAAAAAAATTGTAAAGAGTTCAAAAGTATCGTCAAAAACTTGGTACTTAAAAAAAGCCTATTATTTTATATATATGAAAGAAAATGTTTTTCTAATAATGGACCATTACTTGAATTAAAATATATTATATATAATAGTCAAAATAAAAAAAAAATATATTTACTTTTTTAATTTTAGTGAATTTGCTGCTTGACATATCACCTGTAAAATAAAAAAACATTAAATAAAAATCTAGTTTTAAGCACAAATTAGTGAAATTTACTTGCTTTATTTAAGCACATGATGAATTATGTAATAGTATTCTTTACATAATATATTTTACCAAAACATATAAAATCATAATGTAATTTATTAATCAGCTTTTTATACTTTCTTTAAATTAAGCACCATAACACAATTCCAAATACTAAGATGGTAGATATTTATTGTAGATTAAAATTAATTATGCCTACCCTTGACACAATAATTTTGTTTGTGATATATTTTCTTCAAGATATGAATAACAATTCCATAAATTTATAGGAAATAATGTTTTGTTTCTAATAGTTCTATGATCCATTCATACAAATTGAGTATTTTAAAAATAGTTTGTAAGAAGTTAATACCTTCATTTGTTATTTGATAATTAGCATTAATTAGATAGATAAAAATATATTTAATATTATTTGTGGGTACAAAACTAAGAATATTCATCATCAAAAATTGAAAAGCAAATTCAGAATCTTCAATAAATTTTAAGTGAAATTCATTAATTTGAACATTTGAGATGAAAAAAAAACAGCTTCAAATGTAATTTATGACATTTTTTTTTTAAAATAGCATTTATGGCAGATTTTTTTAAATCAAAAATAACTGTAACTGATTTTAGTTTAATATTAAGTAATTTTAACACTTCAAATAATAAATAATTTTTATAGTTACATCATAATATTGTAAACCATGTCTTAAATTTATCAACCACAAAAATCCAACAACCTAGAAAAAATCTAAAATAAAAACCAAATTCTTTATATGTCTATCTAAACTAACTGTATCACTGTTTCTTGTTAATTATTAAATATGATTAATTTAATTAAATTTTAAATAACCAAACAATTATAATACAGGTAATCAATCAGTATTTTTATTTAAACTAGATTTTTAACATATCTCATAATTTCTACGTAAAATAGTTTAATTATAAATTAAAATATAAATTAATAGGTATATCTAAAAACATAATTTAGATAGGGCATACAATTTAATAATCATAATTGCTATATGACGTTCATCTAAGTGTTTATCTTGTGTACAACACTAATCAGTATTTGAACATTGAATCATCACACTATACTATCGAACCATTGTAACTAAAACATTATTAGCTTATTTATTATGGCTCGATATTTTTATTTGCACACAATAAATAAGAATCATGAAACTTACAACATGCAACTAAGCATGAAATGATTTTTGCAAGTAACAAACATCATATTGCTTATCTAATAATAAACATAATAATAGATTTAATATCAAACAAACAAAAAAAACTATAAAATGTATAGAATGTTTAAAGTAAATTTTCTTTGATACCTATTGATTTTACTAGATTTGCAATGATAATTTTTGAAATGAGTACCTAATTTAAAAGTTTTAAGTTGTTTTTAAATCTTAACTGAAAATCGTATTGTAGTTAGTAAATTACCATTTTTTTTATTTCTATAGTACTTTCTTGAACCATAAGGAAAAACTACAGTAAATAATTTAAGAAATTTAAGAAAAAAAAATACCTACATTTTTTTTTTTAATTCTAAAAATGATACTTAAGTATCAGTTATGAACATACTTTATTATTTATTTTATAAAATAATATTCATTATATAGGTACCTAAATTTTATTATAAAATACTAAAAATTGATGTCAGCAACAATAAAATAATAACACAATAATATGTCATTACCTACCTAAACCTAATATTATTATTTTTATCATTTAAATTTTAAACTCATTCAGACTATTGAAAAACTACTATTAAATTTAAATTTTATTACAATTAAAAGTTCTAGAGTTATGTTAGCAAATCTTTAAATTCAACATAACAATTAATTATCTTTAAGTAGTTAAATACATACATTTTATTATAGTAACCGTTAAGTGTTAAAGTATTCCTTGGAGTAGGTAATTCCAATTGAAAACGAATTTTTTTAGATTTATTTTATAAAATAATAAAATAGTAGTAACATTTGTTTTATATAAATACCAAACTCTAATAGTAGTTGGATAATAAAATAGTACGCTAAGTACTTCTGATACTTTCTTACTACCACCTTAAGTCTATATATCTACAGAATTATTCAAGTATCTACAGAAGTATTAAGTACCTAAACATTTGATGTCTTTGATCTTCTCACTAAGATTTTAATTAAGTGTTTCACACAATGATAGATTTAACTAATAGAAAAAAAAATGGACAGGTATTTAAAAGGTGTACCAAATTTAGATATTATTACTTGAGTAAACATCAATTCTAAAAATTTTGATTAATTGTATAATTGGTATGGAAATTACCTAAAATATTTTAAAATTATACACAGAGTAAACCTACCAACTTTAATTATTTTATTAATAATATAATATTTACATAATCATAAGCCAAATAGACTTCACCGTAAGCATTAAGATACAATTCAGCATTTAAATAAAATTCTACGTAACACTACCTATTTAAAATACTTTTTATATACAATAGCTATAAGGTAATAAGTTATTGGTATAATTATTATTTCATAAATAGCTACTATGGTTGTAATTACTTTATATTAACATAATCTATTCATAATAAATTAATTAGTTTACCAATCAAAATATTAATAGTACCTACTTACCTATAATATAAAATTATTAATTATTAATTTATTTTTAAAACATACTGAAATAAAGATAATATGAATAATATAAAATTGTGCATAGAATAATGAAAAAAGCTCAAAAATGATTTATTCTTAATTAATTTATAAAAAATTTTAATAAATACACATTAATAATCATTTTTTTGGCATCATTTTGTAGATAATATACATGAATATATTTTTACTTAGTGTATTCTTTAATTTAGATAAAAAATTAAGCAAATTACTACTACAGTTACTTAATTACTTTTTATACCAATTAATACCATTGATTTTAATAAATAACTTTCCCAACATTAAAATATAATAAGTAATAAGTAAGTCATGTAAGACTACCAAATATTATATGTGAACTAACTTATCCATTAATTTGCTAAAATTAATAAGTGGAATTATATTACTTACTTGAATCAATATTTTTAAAAAATCTATAAAATTTTACATTTTTACTGAATAAAAAATTAAAATATGTATGTCTAGTGAATACTAAGTGAAGTACATAATCAACTTTAACAAGTATATTAATAATAAATAGAAGAATAAAACACCTGTTGATTAACTATTATATTTCCAAAATTAATTGATTTTTTATTCTAATTACTTGTGCATTGAAATATAACATATTAATAAGCCATCAGAAAAATTAGTATATCATGTATTATTTTTGTACCTATCTAGACATAAACAAAAAATTGTAATATGATCACTGATTTATTTTAAGTTTTTAATATTTAATTTATGCTTAAACCTTACAAAATTACAAAGATGTCTTTCTTAGTTATTAGTTTTAAAAATTGTTATTTGACTGTTGAAAGGCTACTATCAAACTCAACTCATTCAAGCTAGAAGGCTCTGGAGTAGTGTTAGCGAAACCATTCAATTAATTTTGCATAGATCTTTGAGCAGTTAAATAAATAAATTTAACTATCAAAAAAATTCTGATCTTGCTTTTAAATAAAAATGACATAATTTACTAATCAATTAATTAAAATACATATATATATCCATTTACTAAAAGTTAATATCTTTGTACAAAATTAAAATTTTAGTTTATAATTTCTAAAGGAATTTATCTACCAATTCATATTTCATGATAAAAACACATACCTAAAATGTATTATTTTAGTATTAACTGCTAAAATATTTGATTAGATAATACCTAGACATTATATATTTCTATTGATCATTTGAGAAACTAAATTTAACAAGACCACCCTATCTATGAAAGTGGCATAAGTTTATAACCAGACTTAGAATTAAATTACTCAGGATAAACACCAAGTTAAGTTTTAAATATTATTCATTGATACTAATACTTACAACTAGTTTGTTGTTGCGGTAGCAAGATCCTTTTTTCTCCAACAATTGGATCCTTGTCTTTGGCTGATTCTTTTGAACGAACATGTGCTACACTTATATTTGCTGTCCATGGATTAGTTTTTGGTAATGGTGCTTCCACAAATTTTTTTTTATCATTACTACTGATTTCACTACCTTCGTCACATTTTTCAAGTTCTTGAATTGGTTTATCTTCACTAGGCACTGGAGATTGACATGGGATATGTTTGTTTACGTCAATATCCTCAGATGTGGGCACATATTTTTTTGAGCGTATATTTTCCTTATTGCACGCGCTTTTTGTAGACATGACAACTGAAGGCACTGAAGACGGTACGATTACTTGACTCATACTAGTAGTCATTAAAAAAAACCTGAGTTGATCCGTAACGACGGATTAACGGCTTTACTCTGGCATTTTTCAAAATGCCATTGCAGCAACTTAGTAATGTTGTTGAACAAATCGTTTAATGTAAAAACGATTGCAAAAATAACATACTTGATTTCCACAACAATTAATCGAAACTCAAGTAACAAGGCGTTTTTTCTTCAGTAATACTTACTCAAGTTTAATAGGGTCATCGATTATGTTCTTTACACACTATCTGTAGAGTACCGACACGTCTAAAAAAATTATCACGAGAGTAAATGACAACGTAATCCTAAAACTTGTTTTAAATAAAAAATTAAAATATTATTTTTGTCAAAATAACCATGTGACTTTGGAAACGCAAAAACCATAAGAACTGCGTGTTCGACGTTCGGTAACCCGGCACGTTTCTGTTTTACTGCGCAACGCAATAATATGGAAGAGAAAATTGTTTATCAGTAAAGTTTTTCAAACACATGTGCTCAAGCCAAAGAAATTAAAAACCCATAGATATATAGATAATAATAATTATCAATATTTGTGTAATACCAGGGCCTAGGAGATTTTAAAACCCAGTCCCACTAAAAACCAACTTATGTCAAAGTCAAAGTTTTAATGCAATAATGTCATGTACTAATAGTGGCTGTTGTAAAAAAATTAAACCACGAGTCACGAGTTCACGACGACGAAATATTCGGTATGATAACACGTGCAACCGTGCAAGTAGGCGGAGCTTGTTTCAAGGATTCATTTTTACTTTTTTTGTTCTTTGGCTGTCTTTAGGGTACAATATTTATCTCACTCTTATTTTGTACTCAAGCTATCTCTCTTAATCTGTTTGGCACGACCAGTGACAGACCGAGTAATAATAAATATGACCACGCCTCCAACTCCCAGTCGGCAGTCATCAGTGTAGACTGTAGAGTAATATTACGTCCCGTTATCCCGTACGGCGTACATAAACAATAGTTGTACATACGTCTAAAGGGTCTATGCATGACAAAATAATTATTGGGAATGATGCTTTCTTTCAATTTACATCCTATGGTACAATTTTATGGTACGAATATACGATCACAACTTCACTGATATCAGCTTATATACGTAATACCGGTGAAAAGGGTGAAAGTATTCTATCCATAGACCTCATACTAGTCACACTAGCTATTTTTTTGGCTATTAATACTATGCTTTAATATTCATGTAATAAATATATTTTTTATTAAAATTTAAACCGGTTGAAATACGCTGAAGTTGGTAAGGGTGAGAACCATTTTGAGGCGCGCGAAAGAACGAAATTCAATTGATGTTTTGTTGTTTATGAACTTTTTAATCAACATAGGTCAATGTAAAAATCCCGACTTCAGATATAAAATAAATGATTGCACGACAGAGAAAAAATGATAATTATTTGGCCGTGCCATAATATACCCGTGTTGTTATTGAAAAAAACAAAATCCCACTCAACGCTAGCGCTTTCGGCGGATTTCGTAGTGCACTGATATAGCTAAAGCCATTAGCCGTGATCATTTACTAAAAAACCACCTACAATAATAAACATTAAATACTAATATTTAATAATTATATAATTGAAATCTGTGAACTGTGATTATGACATATATCATTGTAAATACTTTTTATTTTACATTTACTATTTTACATTCTTAGCCCGTGCTCAATGCTGCAATTATAAAATAATTTATGAAACTTGTATGATTTAAATTTTAATGCATTGAAAAACTTTAGAAAATGCGATTGAAATTTCAAAAACTGCAGTATTAAATGCCATTAATAGATACCTAAAAAATTAATAAATACTTAATTGGTAACATTTATTTGTATTAGTGTGCTACGTGTGCTAATGCACTTTAGTTCCCCCTCGCTGTTTTGAATATTTTTATTTTAACATCCATAACTATGGATGAATCGAGAATGATATAATCAAATAAATAATCGATGAAGTACCTACCTCATAAAGTCATAAGTCATTATTGAACTGAATAAATTTATACAGTTGTGAATTATAATGTCTCAAAATATTTTCAATGAGTATATTCCATAGAACACTATTGTATTATTTGTAGCCTTGTATAGGTATTTAATATTTCAGACTTCAGTTAAGTGTTGACTAATGAATGTACCGCAAGTGTCAGAAAAAACCACAAATTAAAGTTTTGTGTAGGTATCGTGTGACGTGACTAATACCTGCATGTTTGAAATTAATTGATCGAAATCAAAAAATTAATACGAAGATATTTCTTAATTTTGTTTATATTTTTTTATTACTACGAGATATATTGTTATTTCTAAATTTATGTATTGATTCATATTTTAATTAAATTTAAAAATTATTAAGTAGATTTATGAAGTAGAGACAAGTTGGTCTATAGAGTATTTTTCCAATGGGTCGGGCTATGGGTTGGATTTATATTAATTATTATTATTTTATACACACAATGATATTTTCAAATGCAATGTTTTTGCCACAAATTATATTAACATACTATATAACTAATAGTAAAATAAATTATTCTATAGAATATTTAATCTTACATTGTGAGCAATATCATAAAATAAATTATGCAATAATATACTTAGTGAAATATAGGTTAATTAATTTTCACCACTCAGAATCATGTTTCGTGTACAATGATGTTCATTAAATTCAAATTTAAGACATCCATTACAGTGACACAGTCGATACATAATATATAGGTACAACTACAACTTAGAAAAGCATTGCTCACTTGCCCAATTTTTTTTTTTTTAAATTATATAAATTAATTTATTCATTAATACAATAATACCTTTAAAGTTAAATTTAGTTGTGTATAAGTACAGATGTACATACAGCAAGTGTCGGTAAAAAAATAAATTATATTGGAATGAGTAAATAGTTATAAAAATATATAAATTATACTGTATAATAATATTAATTAGTAAAGTTGCCAGATTTTAAAATCACTAAATCGGAACATTATATTGAATAACCTTTATTTTTTTAATCTCAAGCTTAAAATTTCTGAAGCTTTTAAAAAAAAAGAAACAAACAAATAAACCTGAAACCATGTCAATAAAATGTATATAACATAATACGATAATCATATAATGATATAATAATACTGTGGTACAATATTAAAGTTATTTTCTCTAGGCTTCCATTAACCGTGACAAAATTAATGACCGGCCGGGACACCGGGACATGCTATCAAAATCGAGACGAATGGCAAACCTATTGATAAAATAATAATATTATCATTTTCGTTCTTATTCCTTGGTTTTTTTCTTCGTATACCGTGGTAGTTACAGTGCACATAATGCTATCCTGTCAATTTTCAATCTGAGATCTAAGTATTTGTCTAGCAAAGACAGCAAAGTCGTTAAGAGCATAGGCAAAATAGGCAAATAAGTTTGTAGTCGTTTAACTCGTTTAATGTTTAAGACGTTACTACATTGAGTTTCAGTGTTTTCCATTGTTCACTGCCGGTTGTTTCTGTAGAATATGATAAAAGTTGATCTTTGCCCTGTCAAAAATTAAAGTGTCATTGATGTTCTAAATTTGATGAGTCAGTATTTTTATATAACTTTTTTTTTACCAGTCAAATACATTTTTGCTACGTGATCCAACCTTTGACCAAATACTATGAAAAAAATGTATTACAAAGAAATAATAATCTATTAGAATATATATATACTTAACTATAAAATAAAATTGTACATGGCACAGTGTTGTCGTTTATAGTCTGTACTTACTACTAATTCAATCATAGAAGTATACAATCATAAAGCACGGACTATTTATAAATGTTAAATACATACCTATTTATAATATTTATATTACAATAAAAAAAAATTGCAAAACTAGATATAATCTAAAAAATTCCATTCTTGGATTTTATATTTTAAATTTCATCCCTTGGATACTATATTATCTAGGTATATAACACTATAATTGAATCGAATTTGTCGTTGTGGACTGTCGGGCTGATACCTGATGATTTAAAAATGACATACGAACATTTTGAGAATTTTAAAAATTAGAAAACTGAATAAAATGACGCGCTTGCTGCAGCCAATCGTCATCAACCATATTCTGTGCCTATACCACGGTTAGGTATAGATTATAATATACTAAATTTATATTATTTAATATTATTACTATTTAGTATGATATATTATTATAAGTTATAAAGTGATAGGTCGTTTTACATCAAATAATAAAATTTTATAGCACATTATAGATATTAAAGTATTATTTTAAAATTTAAATAATAATGATATAGTGTTATCAGTTACTTATCAACATTTATATTACATTATTATTCAGTGTTTTATCGTTGTTACTTGTTATTTATTTCTCGAAAGTGTGACGCTGAATGCTGATGTCTTTCTTCTTAGAACAATCAAATAAAGAAGTAAAAAAAAAGTTGATTGTCTAATACTTTGCAAGTTTGCGACCGTTTTTGTTTTATACGCTATAGTCATTAGTAGATAGATCTACGAGAACAATAATGTCTAGCGATTCGATTAAAACAGTAAGTTTAGTCAATTTAGTTACTTTATTACTTTGATTTTATATTGCTAGATTATACATTAAGTGTGTGGTTTGCTTATTAACTTTGTTTTGATTATCCAATAACAGTTCAACAATGTGGAGTCCCCTGGATTCGTAGGTTTTGCCAATTTGCCGAATCAAGTACACCGCAAGTCCGTGAAAAAAGGCTTTGAATTCACGCTTATGGTGGTCGGCGAATCAGGTCTAGGAAAGTCTACACTTGTCAACAGCCTTTTCTTAACAGATTTATATCCCGAACGCGCCATTCCAGATGCGATTGGTATGTATTTAATTATTAAATCATATTTCTTTGTATTTTTACAAATTTTTTTTATTAAATTAGCAAAAACCAAGCAGACTGTTAAATTAGATGCATCAACTGTAGAAATTGAAGAGCGTGGTGTGAAATTACGACTTACTGTAGTCGATACTCCTGGTTTTGGAGATGCCATAGATAATTCGGATAGGTATTTAAAAAAAAAAATAACAATTTTATAATTTTTATTACTTATTTTGAAAAATTATAATTTAGTTTTCGAGCTATTATTCAATATATTGATGAGCAGTATGAACGATTTTTAAAAGATGAAAGTGGATTAAACAGACGTCACATTATTGATAATCGTGTTCATTGTTGTTTCTATTTTGTTTCTCCATTTGGTCATGGGTAAGTCAAATAATATTGTCTTAATTAACCTAATCAAAGAATGTTAAAAATAAAAGCTTGCTTTTTAGCTTATTATTTTTATAATAATAGCATATTGTCCAATATACATATTTATTTTATTAGATTAAAGCCATTGGATATTGAACTAATGAAAAAACTGCATAATAAAGTGAACATTGTTCCTGTCATTGCCAAATCAGATGTTCTTACTAAAAAGGAAATACAAAAATTAAAAAAAAGAGTAATTAAAAAATAATATAATTTTTATTTATTTTTTTTTTTTTAATAGCTAATTATTATTTAAATAGTAATCAATGAAATCTCTATATGATTAAAATTTATTGTGGGTAACAAATGTTTCTATTATTCAGAACTTATTTCTGTTGGTAATTTAATGATGGGTGTGGTATATTATCTAACGAGGTTACCATCATTGGCAACATATTATAAAACTGTTGCGGGATTAACAAAAAGTTTCAAGTATTATTTGTTATTTAGAATAATATATACTTATCATAAAACCTAGCATACTCGCTTAAAAATGTATTTAAAAGTTATTATTTTTTAATACATAATATCACAAAAAATTACCTAAATTAGCAATTCTATTTTATTATCATAGTATAAAGTATGTATTTTATGGTTTTAAAATAATTTAATTATATTAGATGGATGATAAATATTTATTCCCCATTTTTTGTATTAATGATGATAAAAAATATTGATCTACTAATTATAATTTATACATTCATACAAATCTGGTTTTAATTTAATTTTTCAATGTCAATTATTTGTACGGATAAAGTTAATTTAAATTAAATTTATATGTTCTATAAAACAATAATAATACTAAGAAATATAGTCAAATGTAAACATATTTTAAATTTTAGACATTCAATTCTTTGTTGGTACATAATCAAAATTATTTTATGTAATAGATACTTTTTTTTTTATCTGCAAATATCTGCATAAGTCTTCATAAATTTCAGAAAATTTTAAATATAATTTACTCTCTGTGTTCATGTAAAGCTAATATAAGTTAATTTTGTACATATATTTTTGTAACATATCTTAAATCATTAAAAGACCACTCTTATATGCATACAAATAATAACATCTAATGTTCTAATTTCATGAATTAAAATATTGTAAATAGGTACTAATAGTAATAATCCAAACTTTAGAAAAATTAGTGGGCATGAAATTACAAATTTAATATTGATGTTTGATAATAATAATTGATCTTAATAGTTTTTTAATAATGTAGCTTGTACAATGTGTATATAACTCAGAAATTGATAATTACCTTATTTGAATTGTTACTAAAATATTCATTTGAGTAAGTATCAAAGTTAAGCAAATGCTATTTGAGAAGGTTAAATGTAAAAATATTTTACTGATGGTATAGGTAATGTACATTTGAAAAAATATTTTGTGATTTTTGCCTGTGAGAAGTATTTGTAAATAGAGATTTCACTGTATAACTAATAGGATCGTATGTTCATGCATTTTCATACAAATCTTGACAAGTCTTAAATGCTAAGTAACATAAAAATTTGCTTCTAGGAACAGGGTTTAATATGTGTGATTTTATTTTAAATTTTATATTTGCATAATTTGGGATTTTTCATATTTGTACATTTTTTTTTTTTTACTTAAAGAACATATAAACATTTTTTAAATATTATATATTGATACATTGTTAATAGCCTTAATAGTAAGAAGTACCTATATTTTTTTTTTATTAAAAACAGAAGATTTAAAATTTTTAAAAATATAATTAATGCACAGACTGTAAAATTATTAAAAAACAATCTACTCAGTACTCACAATTCTAATAAAACAATTATTTACAAATATATGAACAAAATTTCTATTCATCTAAAATTTTTGGATGACAAATTTTGTTGTTTATAAATTGGTCAACAACTTTTTTTCATACTAATAATTTTTTATTTTTTTAATAAAATTAATTTTATTGCACATTTGAGTATTTTTATAATCATGGTTGTATATTATATTTTATTCAACTGTTTTTTATTACCGTGGTTCTTAACCGGTGTGTTACCGAGTAATTCCATATGTATCGCGTGGAGTATTAACATATTTTAAACAATTATTGAACAAAAAAAAGGCCTTTTTTTACATTGTAACTACGAGCCACCTGAGTTAGTAGGCCAGTATACTTCCAGTCTAGGTCTATCGCTTTTTTTATGGATTTAAATTAGGGTGTTGTCATGCATAAAAGATAGAGAACTACTGTTTTAGTGCATGAACTTATGATTGCTGGTTTTAAATTATAATATTTGAGATATTTATGTTGATGAAAAAATGTATGTTAGACTTAATAATATTATCAGTATGCATAATATTCAATTTATATTGTGTATTTATAGATATTAGAAGAAATAAATGCTAATGGTATAAAGATTTACCCTCTACCCGATTGTGACAGTGACGAAGATGAAGACTATAAAGAACAGGTTTTTAATAAATGTTTATTTAATTATTAAATAAAAAAATATATGTAAATTGTAAAATAACTAAAATGTTTATTAAACTGTGCATACTCAAGGTTAAGCAATTAAAAGAAGCTGTACCATTTGCTGTTTGTGGTGCAAATCAATTATTAGAAGTTCGTGGTAAAAAAGTCAGAGGGCGGTTCTATCCTTGGGGTGTTGTCGAAGTAGAAAATCCTGAACATTGTGACTTTATCAAATTACGCACTATGCTTATGTAAATTAACTGATAAAAATCAATAGTGCTCAAATTATAACATTTATAAATTTATTTATGAATACTTTTAGCACACATATGCAAGATCTTCAAGAAGTAACACAAGAAGTACATTATGAAAATTACCGATCAGAGCGTCTAGCAAAAGGAGTACCTGTGCCAAAAAGAACTACGTATGATTATTATTTTTACATTGATAATGATGAAAACAAATAATTGTTATTTCTAAATCATGTTAATTTTTTTTAAATCTATATAGATCACTACCTGAACATGAGAAAAATTCTGGCTCAGAAAAAGACAGAATTTTACAAGAAAAAGAGGCTGAACTTAAACGTATGCAAGACGTCATTGCCAAAATGCAAGCTCAAATACAACAACAAACACCTTAATATATTAACCATTTACAATTTTTTTCAAATGACTGTCTTGAGAAAAAAAATCTCATGATTCTATTATGCCATTATTCAAACTATTTTATTCGTATGATTCGTATAATTTCAGATTAAATTATAACTTTACATTAAGATATATTTAATTTATAAATTATTGTTTAAGTATTTTTTAATAATTGATATTTAAAAATTGTATTTACAAATTTACAATATTATTTAAATTACATAGTCATAGCCAGGTAGATAACATTTTAACTGTTGCCTTTTAATTTTTATTTATTTTAACTTGAACATGTTCAGTACTTAAAATTAATTTTCATTATACAACTGATCTAAAATAAAAATTAATGACTTATAATTTTAAATTAATATTTTATTTTGATAAATTCATCATAATATTTAACCTAACCTATTAAGATCTGATACTTATATTTTTATACTTTTCATTTATAACTAAAAATAAATTTGGAATTTAATTTATAATTATTTAAAATATATATTTTATTTTGGTAGTTCAAATTTATAATACAAGAAAGTACCTCAAAATTATTTTGATAACTATGGTTGAATATTCTTCTGAGGTTCAACATAAACAATTATTTCGGTTTTGATTGTACTTAATTATTATTATATACTTTTTAAATATTCCCTAACATTTATGTATACTTATGATAATAATATAGTCAATATTGTACATATTATGATATACTATATTCTTTATACAACAAATATAATTTATATATTTATTATATTGTTTATGTTGGTGTTAATTGTTAGAATACCTACATATTAAGATACTTATGTTTAATTTGCCAAAATACCAAAATTATAGTGTGGGCATTTGGCAAAAACATATCCAAAAGTGCTGAAACTCAATAATATTCATTATAAATTATAATGCCACCATACAACTCCCTGCAAAGGTTCAAATCACCATGTTAGACATTATATGAATGGTTCGTCCAGTTACAGTCTTTTCACAGAAATATCGCAAATTTAGCCAAACCAAAAACCTTTATTAAAACTGTAGGTACTCATAAGTCATAATTACATTTCTACAGTATTATTTTTTGTCTATACCTGGAAGCTATTTGATATTTACTAATATCGGTTAGTCTAAGCTTTTAAACTTTTATTTTTGAGATTTTGTCATCTACTATATTATTTATTGGTTATTAATTATTACCTACCTAATTTATATTGTACATTAGTATGTTTTGTTTAAATTTGAATGATAATTTCTGAGCGATTGAGCCTGCAACATAAATAGAGCTCCATAAATACAACACATTTTAAACACATACGCATATTACCTATATGCAACCTTAACCATTAGGTTGGATAATCATTTTTTTAATAATTAATAAAATAATCTTATTTTACTTTAGTGTGTCATTATTAATGTTCCCAATAGGTCTCGTACTCTTAAAAGTTTTCAACTTTCAAATTTTTAATATATAATAAATAATTCAGAATAGAAGTACGTGACATGTCTCTTCCTTTGACTCTCGCGACATTGCCACTGTACACCGCATTTAATAGTCATCATTTAAAAGTTTAGTAAAAAATAAGTTATAATTTCCATAAAATTTACACGTATTATTCGTCAAATATTTCCATTCCCGAATCTCTCGCAGGATACGTAACATTAAACCTTTTCCCGAGGTTATAATCGAATGCAATTTCTGCTACTTTGGATAGTATGTCAATAATGATTGTTTCATCTGGAGTTGGAAAGTCAAAATTTGGTTTCCATTCACCATTTTCCATGCAAACTGGCTGAGATATAAATAAACCAAATGGTAGGCCAAACGTTCCTATAAAAATGATAAAACACATAGATTTTGAGCGAAATAGTCACCTGGCCTAATATCCATATATCAGGTACGTAAATTAGCTAATATAGCTTTAAAATGATGAATTATTTATGTAAAACTGTATGCTTGGGTGCCCGCTGCACCATTTGAGTGGATACAGCCGGTGGAGGTGACGTTGAGCCTAGGGTCCAATACTCAATATATATATGTTTAGAACTATAATATACCTTTATAGTGTTTAGGGTTTAGATAATTTTAGTTGTTGTAATTAACGGTCAGTTCCATTATCAGTTAACTATTTTCGTTATCTTCGCCTTTACACCTCACACGCCAGAAAGCTTTTTGATTACTAATAAATTTATGCTGTTTATAAAAAATGATTAGAAAAAAAGGCCACTGCTTTTCGTAACCCCTACCTCCTTTTACTAATAATTAATAAACGTGTATACAGATTGTTAACCGTATTTAGGTAGGTCAATATGAAAATCTATAGTTCTAATTTTATTAATAAAATGTGACGAGAAAACGTAAAATTTTCTTTATTCTGTACATTATTTTCGTGAGACGGGCATGCGGATAATACGTTCTCTAGAGAACTGCAGCGAGAGCTCGTATATAATTAATAATTAATTACAATAAACAACAAACGTTACAGTCATAATTAAAGAGGGAATAAATAATAATACGATACTTGATCACCCCTGAAATTTTTTTAAATGTTCGTAACGAGCATTAAGGTATTATTATTTTATCAATTTACAACAAGTAAAAATTATCATCGGTAAATATGATGCGCCGATCGATTTTTTTCAAAACGAGTAATTCAACACGACTAATGCATTTAAAAATAAAGCTTGCAGTCAATAAATATAATATTATATAATAAAAAATACCGTCTGAAAAAACTGCAGCGCTCATGGTTACGTAGCTATCGTTTTTGTACCATTCCGAAATCATTCGCACGGCCACGCGTATTTCGGGCAAGCTACACAGGTGACACAATACGTTGGTATTTGATTCTGAGAGAAAAACAAAGTGAAACGCGATTGAAACATGATATTTAACACGCCGTGCTTCATGCTTTTCGTTTCGTTATCAAAGCATAATATAATATATATTATAATATAGCCATATAGGTAATAATATTATGTCGATAGCGTTCACGGTCGATAGCAAGTCATTGTAACTTAAAACAAGATTCGCAATTTTAGTTCAAAACAAAGTCAACTTGATTAGTTTGAAACGAATAGTTTTACTATCAAAAAACACAAAACAGTTTTTGAAAATAATTGTTTCGTATACATAGTTTTAAGTTGATGATAAAAATTACCTAACATTTTTCTTAAAAATAATATAATTTTACCGTATTTTATCATTATGTTTAAAAATTAAAATGTTTTACTACATGAATTTTAATTTTATTTAAAAATAGAATTTTTTATAAACTACTTCCATACATCGTAAAAATCCGATTTCGGGCGAGTAGTTTATGAGTTATAACTGTATTGAAAGTTTATAGATGAGCGAGGTGATAATATGGTACAGGAGTAGAGAGGAGGTATCTATCTTAAAAAATGTTGGTCCACTACTATTTTCGTCGAAACTTTATATACTTATGTTTTCATTTAAAATAATAAGAACTTAAAAAAGTGATAACGATAAAAAATATTAAAAATGATTTATTGTGACCAAAAAAAGTTTTAATTTTAATCAAGATAATGTAAAAGAAATATTTTCAAAAACATTAGTGTTTTCTAAAATAACGAGCGTCTTACGCCAAATTGATTATCCCGTAAATTATTGTACACGAATATAGCTATAGATACCAATGCTTGTGCTCACTTCACCGTGTTCGCCGTCGCCTCGCGTCTGCAAACTCTCAGACTGCAGTAATACGCTTTGCAAGCGTTTGTGCTTGTTTTGGTCTGCTGAATAATTGTGCACTACTGTGGCCGCGTCTTCGCAATTGCAGTAATCCGGTTTGCCAAGGTTTGCTACCGATTTACCGCAATGGTAGATCGTTTGATGGAAATCAATGTATTGTGCCGCCGAGCCGTCGAAGCCCCAAACTGGCGGACAATGGAGATCTGGGATTGGGATGCTCGTCACCTAGGTTAGTATTGGTAGTATGATTTCATGATATCATTGTGAGATCAACTCATTTAAAAAAAAATATTGAGTTGGTTTAGTGAGAAATAATTTTAGAGAGACTATAACATAACATGATATTTGAAGTCAGAAATAAGATCTAGGTATAGTCACTATGGGGTGAAAGCGTGAAGCATTACATTTTTTTAATACAATTTACAAATATTGATGATAATTAATTATTAATTAATAATAATAATAATAATAATAGATCATAAGTTGTAGCTATAACCGTCGTTATGTATTAATATTTAATGCAATGAGTGTCGTGTCGACTGACGACAATACTCCACAAATTTCTATATTGGGCTCTTGTTTTCATCTAGTTGTAGCGAAACTTGTTTTTTTTTCTAGGAATGGCTTATCGTCATTGACGATGGAATTATGCCATGATTGTATTATTATTGTGACTATATATAGTCATATATTTATAATGCAAGTTATAAGTACACGTATATTCTACCGGGAATTGAATATAAAGTATTAATAGTGTTTACTTGGAAAATAACGAAATACCTAGTAGTACCGAAGTTTCGGTCTGAAATAGATGAACTTATAACTGTGATAAATTTATAAAATAATATATTATTTTAATTTATATATTGTTTTATAAATCATTCTAACTATGCAAATATTAAAATATATAATTTATTAATTCTTTATATGTTTTTAGTAAAATATACATTTATAAATTGAATGAGTTTTCCCAAATGTATTTTTATGTATGTATACGGTATACAGTGTACCGTAAACGATTTGAGAAAGTAAAATTAAATATTTAATAACATAGGTAACTTAGTTAATGAGCAAATTTATTAAACTACAATCAGTATTAATATTATGATTTATGAAGCCACTTTTCTGGATTAAAGGTTAAATGTTTCTGCAACATGGTTTTTCATGTAAAATATTGGATTTGCACACATATATTCTAAGTTATTATCCAATAGGGGGTGATAAAAATATTTATTTAAGAGATTTTTTGGATCGGTTTCTGCGGTAAGTGATTTTTATTTATTCTTTTAGAAATAATCTATTACAAAAGAAATATAGATGTTATACCATCAATTTTTCTCATTAAAACTTGTGCAGATTGTGAAATTGTTTTACAATTAATTTAAAAACAAAATCTTGATAATTATATAGTAATCGTTGTACTTTATTTATTACTTTTTTATGATGGTTAACAGAATATAATAGGAACAACGGAATTAAAGAAATAATGCTGCTAGATAAAGTGTTGTTTTGGGAGCTAGTAAAAATGTATAAAGTTATGTGTGAGCGGTACACACTATGTGATTACGTTGGGTATAACTAACTTAGGTATAGGAACTAACCCGTGAAATGGACGGTAACTTCACCATACCGTGATGACCGGTCACACCAACAATGTTGTACAAATAAACTTTTTCAGCATTCTCAGCCAAAACGCTTAGGTTGAAACACAATAGATCCATGCCCATCAGCAGCACCTTACAGCGTTCGGGACAGTGGCGGTTGAGGATTGACGCCAAACACTTCATAGCGGTGAAATTTCGGTTCGTCCATATGTATTGGTCTTCATTTTCTCCTCTACATAGATCAGAATAGAGGATAAAGAAACCATTAACTTTAATGGTTTATCGTGTCTTATTGTCAAAAGTTTGTATTTGAATATAAATTCGTTCCTTATTTAAAAAAAAAAAAAAAATTACCTAACTTATTATTAATTTATATTTATTATGATAAGAATTATTTTAGTATAATATATTTTAAATATTGATCTATCAAATATTCTTATTAATATAATATTTTGTTTTCAGTATTTTCATACATTTTATCGTATTATGTACTGATTAATAATCATTATCAATCGAATTCATTGAATTGTACACGGACATTATTATATTTTAAACTCGACATTAAGTAAAGTAAATAGAAAAATAGAAATTACATATTTCCGTTGTTTTTACTTTACTACCAAGTTTCATTTATATTTTTATAAAAGGCACAATGCGTTTTAGGAATACGTTTGCTTTAGATCGCATGATGTCGACTCGTATATGCGATAAGGACTTGCCTTTGCATGCTGCCTATCACAATAAACAAATCGCAGTTTAACAGCCCTTCTTCGACGCTGTTGACCACCGTTACCACGCTACAACCACGAACATTAAATTCGGCGTCACAAATTTCGTTTTTAATTCGTATCAGATCTATAACGAAAAAGTATATACAAATATGTACCTACATTAAATATGATATGTATTTTCATACGAGTATTATACAATATGTACTTAGGAATTATTTACGTATACCTACTTATATTTATTAACATTTTATTATTTTAATGTATAAATACATGAAGTCTAGTGTGTGTAATTGCAGTGGTGCAGTGATGTACCTCCGTAATTATTCGAGTCTTTGTGGTGTAAGCATATCGTAATACCGCCGCCACCTTTAGCTTGGAGTTGTTTCATCTGTAACAGCTCAGAAACCAAGTAACAAGTAGACGGATAAGCTGCGCCTGTTATGCACACCCTTCTCGCCACAGCTCGGCACACGGGTTTTTGTTCAGTCAACATAAACGGCAGTCTCTGTGGAACCAGCAAGACAATATCATGTAATAGATAATAATAATAAAAAAAAAAAAACGGAACGGACGTTGAGGTACTGATTAAATGATACAAGCAATAAAGATCCATTTAAAAGATTAAAATACACCAAAAAATAGGCGCATACTGGTATATATAATAATTGATAACTGATAGATGTAAAAAAAAAAAATACATATAAAAACTGTAAAGAAAACTTGGATATTAACGCGTGAACAATTTTAGAGTGGAGAAATATAAAAGTAGAAAGAAATGTTTGGTCAATTTATCCTTTGAGGACATCAAAATTTAAAAAAATCTAACAAGGCCGTGTTTTTAAGAAACTCATTTAAAGGTACTTTATATTAGATTAGGTATTAAGGTACTTTTATTGGAATAATAATTAACGATCTGCAGTTATTATATTGTCGCTTAGTTATTTTATTTCAAGGCTGGAAACAGTATAAACACTTTAGTTTAAACACTTTTTAAACACTTAAGTCTGAGTGGAATTGAGCGAAAAATGTGTTAATTTTACAGCAATATTTATTTTATAATATTTTTTTTATGTTTGACATCTGTCACCATCTTTCGGAGCAGTAAAAATACTTGAACTTTTAATATTTAGAATCAAATCAAATCTAGTTGACTTTATAAAAAGTTAACAATGAAAAAATTTCCAGTACTTTTTAGTAAAATCGGAAAAAAAATTAAGGATAAGAGTATTTTTTTAAGCAAAATCAGATTTTGATAAAATAGGTTTTTGTTGTTGTTTTAATTCAAAAATAAAAATCTAATACTTGTAATAACATTTTATTAATATGAAATAATTTTTGTAATATTTTAACCTTTTTTTTGCTATTTATATATACAATTTTATATTTAAAAAATATATTTTCGATTTATGCAAGTTTGTGAGTAAAAAAGTTTATACATTTAATATATGATTCCTTAATTATTCCTTATCTTATCATAAGTTGTTCTATCCTGCTTTGTTTACGATTGTTTTTCATCATAATAATATAATGATATGTAATCAATAAATTATATTGAATTTAAATTGAACACATCCATTATATAGGTGACCTATTTAACGAGTAATGACGAGGTACACTTGACTATACTACTTTATTATATACCGAATATCATTAGCAATATACCTCTTCGTTATCCAGCGCTATTTGTTTTTTTATTCGTTTGTCCAAACGTGTATCGACATTATAATATTCTATGAGATGGTCAAAAAATTCGTTAATGCCACCGATCAAGTGACAGGAACCGTTTGAGATGGGTACTCGTTTCCAGACTAACGGATTTTTATTGATTTTCCATTTTTGTTCAAGGCAAAATTTATTCATCCATCCCTAACAGTTATAAAGGTTGAATTTAAAATAATTATTTACTACCGTTACAATAATTGTAAATAATATTATATATGACGTGCACATATACATTCCGTCAATTTGACACGTAATAGTAGTATACTGTCATTGACTAATGTACCTTACACGCCTTGATACGTAAATTGATATAATATATTATGTATTTAATGAAATATTGTGAACGGTTTAATTTGAAAACATTGTATTGGATGTAATCGAATACACGATTAGTCGTTGTCATTATACTGTGACCGACATATTGCGGGTTAGTGTAATCAATCGTCAATTGCAATTCATTACATTAAATTACAGTTTACCATACATCTGCAAATATTGGCGAACTTATATTTTGAGTGTACACTGTACACGATGTAATAGTTAGTTTTATTGTTATTTTATATCGGATATAAATAATTTTAAATATAGTGTATACAATAATGGTTTAGAGATAATATTTTACCGTTGCGGTTATTTATTCTGCCCAAAAATTATTTGATACTCAATATATGAGTAATTACTTACTTGATATTCTTCTTCAGTTTTTACTATGATTTTATACGAGAAACTGGGGAGAGAGAGTCTTAATTTTTCAGCAACGAGTTTGGCGTGACCGAAGTCCTGACATTTCGGCACGCCTGCAATGAAGTAAGTAAACATTGAATCGATAAACGGGTACTACAAAACGTAATATTTCGTAACATCAAAGACGCTTTTTTTTAGTTGTGGTGTTTGTTATTGATGAATGTCAAGTAATGATTGTTTATCTTCCATAGATACAATTTTTTTTTTTTTTTTTTGTAGTTCGTTACATTTTTAGATTACGATGTACTACTATAGGAGGTATAAATAACACGCAAATGTATTACTACAGGTAAAACAAATATAATTAATTATATTATTTATAAATAATTTATAATTTGAATACAAATTTTAATGAATAACGAATAAAATGTTAAAAATTATATATTATGTTTCTTAAAAATTGTTGTAGTATAAATGAAATATATTTGAGCGCAGCCGATTTCATTACTGATTCAGCCATATTATATTATTATAATATTATTCATACTTATCTATTTTATTTATAGGGGCAAATTTAAATTTATATCTATTACCTACTTTACACTTTACAGTATTATATGTGTATTTAACTTACTTTTTTTTTTTTTTTTTATTAATTTAAAATAAGATGTTCCTAGCCTTGGCTATCTACATCTATTGATGATTACAATGGTACAATTTTTAACAATTTTAACATGATAATTATTTAGAATAATAAAAATAGAATAGTTAGTAAGATATAAATTACTAACTAATATATACTATATGTACAATATTGAATATAATAATATAATAGTAACATTGGTGGTAGTTACGCTGAGTCGTAGCTGACTAAAATTAAGTAACAGTGACTGATACAATAATAATTAATAATAAAAGTATAATATAACATATATAGAATAATATAGTATAGATATATGCATGTTAACTTATATTTTAGCTAATGTATATTGTGTATTTGTGTATAGTTGTTAAACCAGAAGGTCATGCGGACGTCCACGTTTTAATCTACGTTGAGGCGGATGTACGTGGAGGTTATAGTGAAGTGAGCCAGAGGAGTTGAGCAGAGTGGTATGGAAGTTTTTGGAAGACGTTTTTATGTGGTCTACGATTTCCTGGACCTGAAGATCTTTATGTAGGTTTACGTTCCTTATAAACCAAGGTGCGTTTGTTATAATACGTAGCACTTTATTTTGAAAAATTTGAATTTTTCTGACGTGGGTGGTCGCGCATTTCCCCCAGACCGGACATGCGTAAGTGAGTATTGGACGTAAGATTTGCTTGTATATAAGAAGAGAGCATTTTTTCTGTATTGAAGATTTTTTATTGAGGATAGGGTATAACATAGAAAGGCGCTGATAAGCCTGTTGTAGTTTGGATGAGATATGGGGCTGCCAAGTTAGCCGTTTATCCAATATCAAGCCAAGGTACTTCACTGACGAGTTCCAAGGTATATTTACATTGTTAAAAATTAGTTGTGCAGGGGGGTGGTAAGGACGAAGACTGAAAATAACACCTATACTTTTTGACGCATTTATTTGGATACGCCATTTATTACACCAATAAGATATTGTATTAAGATGTACTTGTAGATTTGTGGCTACTGCTTCTATGTTACGTGATTCGGTGAAAATTGTAGTATCATCTGCAAAGAGGGCGATGTTCGTACGAGGTGACTGAGGGATATCATATACGTAGATGTTGAAAAGTATGGGACCAAGCTTAGAGCCCTGAGGTACACCAGCAGATATAGGCATAAGATTAGAGGGTAACTTACTAGTTTACTACACATAAAATTATATTAAATTTATACGTAAAAATCAATTACGTATTATAAATATAGAAAACTAAAAAATAATATAACTATTGATAAAAATTATAAAAGGGAAAGAACTATAACAGTTTAAAATTTTAAATAAATTGCCATGTACAATAATAAAGGGAGTGTTGATAATTGAGGCAAGTCCATTTCTCTCCATTAACTATTTCCCCCAAACATTTTATTTAACTAAAATAATCATTTTCTTCTAAATATTAAAATATTTAGTCTATATTTTAGTTAACAATAGTGTATTGAAGTGTTGTACACAGAGTTATAAAAGAAAAGTAAGACTAGGATCACATTATGTGCGATTATCGGTAGATGATTTAATTTTAGTTGCAAATCCGTGGTTAAACGAAGAAATTCTTAGGAAATTATAAAAATTAAAATAATTACCCATCTGTTTATTTATTTATTTATTTTTTTTATGAGTATTTATTTGTTACTGAAATATCCTGTGATTATAATAAAATATAATTTTTAATAACTTATAGATAATAGTTATTATTATTATTTTTTTTTTTTTGCTACCTAATACAATATGACTTAAAAATATATTTATTATTTTCTTAATTTCATATTGGAAAAAATGGTAACTTATTAATGGAGGAAAATTGCTACGGCCGATAATTAAATGCTTCCTTAATACCGATTTAATGTATCTACGATAGATGTATACCTGAAAAGCGCGTTCATATCTCGGTATACTGTTATAGTTAGAAATGTGTAATTATTATTGAATTTCATGTATATCACTATAGCGATAAATGTTGTATGGCGTGTTGTGTACGTTAATGTGCATAAACACAAGTATAACTAATGATTATATTTTATAACCAATACTGTAACGTAATAACTATTACTAATTAGTAATTATTGTACCCAAATGAATCATACGACAAAGATGTACCTAAATTGCCTATTCTTAATGCCGTGTAAAGTTATAGAAATATAAATATCTGTGATATAAAATATATTAATAACTAATAAGCATTATATAGATTATACTCGTTCAAGTAGTTGTTTAAAAAAAAATATATATATATTATTATTTATAATAAAATAAAGACTTGAATGCTTGAAACGGATGACAGATTTCAAGTAAACAACTTTTATTCACTAAATAACGTAATATTAAGTCAACGATTAGGTATATTAAATAATGTAATATTCAAACCAGAATTTAATTCATCTAAGATAAGACTGATCACAAAAAAATGTTACAGTGTATCTTTAAATAATTCAATTGTTTTATCGACAATCTTTCGTCCTAACTCCCGAGGCCACGTTAAATAAGATTATAAATGACGTAGAAAAGCTTACCTTCCTTTTAAAGACTTCAAAAGCAAGATAATGACAGTATAATACTTTAAAGTTCAAATGTAGTCCGATCTACAGTAATGACTGTAGGTCATTGTGGTCTGTGATCGATGACGTACGGACAACGACTAGAAACATTTTCCACTATCATTATCATCAAACAGCATACCGACAGTTGAGCGGATCATTTGTGTAAGCTGATACGATTGGAAATGAATGCATTGTTGGTTTATTTACGGCGAACCAACAATAGAATATTATTCTACGTTAATTATACACAATATTGTTTATTCTTATTTCTATGATAACAATATTAATTACCAAAGCGTCAAGTGCATTTCCACTCGTCAGATATTATTAAACATTAACTTCACTTAATCGCCTTCAACCATGACGTTTTTAACTCACCGAGTGATAAAATAGGTCATGCGTCACTCCAACAATTAATAAAAGAAAAAAAATCTATTTTATTATTATTTTCAGTAAATTTAAGGAATTAAGCTTTGTTTTGGTTGTTTCTGCCTATATGTACAAAAACACGTTAGTAATGGCTAAAAGAATTTTAAGTATCGTCACTTGTAACTTTAACGAGAGAGATTTTTATATCATACATTTATTATCATCTATCATACAAGTTATCAACTATCTATGCGTGTTCATTGTACATTTAAAATATTATATACTTTTATTTGTTAGTATTTTTATCAAAATATGAATAGTTTCATACATTTTTTTATTAAATATAATTTAATAATTACTATTTACTAGTATACTAATAGTAAAATAGTTTGCACTGAAATGTAATGATTTTGATTATAAATTAGAATCAGAATTTATGTTATATTTTTGTTCCAATAAAAATATTTGATTACAATTTACAATTTTCACTGCTTTAAATCATTAACAAACCGTTAAAAATAAAACGACGTATAGCTATTGACATTTCACAATTGTTTTTATTTAATTTTAACGTCTGTACCTTGAACATTTTCTGAGTTGACATAAACTTTTTAAACAAAACTAGAGAGCTCGTAATAACAGAATATATTGTTTAATATTTATAATTTATATGGAATTTTTAGTTGTATTAATAATTACGAATAAAAAATACACGCTACATTTACAGAATGTTCCATTTTTTTTTTTTTTTTTTTTTGTACAAATATAAATTAAATAATGAACAAAAGGTTATATTTATGAAATACTTTATCAATATTTAATTGTCTTATTCTCGTTTTATAAAAAAATAATCGTTAAAAGTATTTACTTACCTACATTTCAATGGCGTACATTTTCATTTTGCAGTTTATGCGCTCACAACATTTTGTAACAATATTGAATATTTGAGTTTTTAATTTATTTAGATGCTATAATAATATGATTAATTATATTTTATATTCATTGAAAACTCATAAATGAAATAAAAATGTATGATAATAGTGTTTATTACTTCAACATTATAATTACTATATATATAAAAACGATATTAAACATAAAATAAAATATATACATTATATCGTGTTACAAGATATTTTTTCCCCACGTTTAATGACTCGGGTCGTTACAAACTGTAATTATAATACATTTATAGAAAGTGAAAGAATAATAATAATTTAATGTATATGTATGTGAGTATTTTTTTTTCTGAAAAAAGCATGATAACAAAATCAGTTAATATTAATTAAATATATATTATGGTGCTAATAAAAATTACACGCACACATTTTGTTATGGCTGCGTTTTACTCGTATATTATACACACGATGAATAAAAGTCAGTGAAATCATGACACTACAACAACGTTATTAAATATTTGAGTTTTTTTCTCAATATTATATGAGAACAAAGTTTTTACGTATTGTTGATTAATTACGTTTATCAGCTTTTCCCATTACACCCTACATAATATAGTATTATAGTAACGTTGTTGAAAAATTGTTTTTCAAATTATTATAACGTAATGTCATGATAGAAAATGTCAAATTTTTTCAACGTTTCTATTAGAAGTCGACTGCTTTAAGTTAGTAAATCGCACTCGATATAACACTGCAGTTGACAGTTTCTCAATTTTACTGCACTAAGCCTGAAGATTACACGTAAATCATCAACAAATTCGATCCATTAAAAGTCAGTATAAACTATTATTTTGATTACAAAAAATATATAAGTTTATATACTAAATGAGAACTGTATGAAAAGTTTTGATAGGTATTTTATTCAGTTAATATTTTATAACGAGAGTTCTTTTGGATATTAGACTTTATATTATTAAAATTTCAAGACTGAAAAGAAACAAAAGTAATTTTATTCAAAAAACGAAAAAGATATTTGTCTGTTAGTGCATAATACTTGTTTCCTTAATTTAATTTTTTATGTTTTCAGCTCATTATTATAGTCAGCACGTCGCTTCAAACAAAGTATATTAATGTAATTTTACACGTAGAAAAAAATGATTAAATTCGTTTTTTGTTAAAATGTAATTCGCGTTGTTGTGGTAGGAAATCTTATCAGTATATAGACTATATACTATGTAAAAAAGCGATTTTTTCAGGAGTGGATTAATAACTTTTAGAAATACTGTTTTACAGACTTGATTTTTGTTATTATAATAATATCTCACTATGTTTAAATTAACTTAAACGTTTCAAACACTCAATGCCTCTCTACAGCTGTCTGTAAAAATAGAATTTGTATTAATATATTTTTTTATTACATGTTGAACAATTGCATTATGTAGGTACTATGTACATGCATATATATAATATTATATATAGCGTTATTGCCGTTATTATAAACTATTTAGTTACTTATAATATATAACTTTAAATAAATGCGCATACTTACAGGAAACTTGATAATGTTTGTAATATTTATTACACTAATTATTAACTAAGTACATATAACTTGCAATAATTAACTCACACTAAAGTTAATTAGAAAAGTAAAAACCATTATTGTTACTACCGCCTTGTACTCGTATTTGCATGAATTCGTTTCGCGTTTTATTATCAACGTTTAAAGCGTACACGAACACGAAATACTTTTGGAAGTACACCCAACTTGCAGTAATATAGACACTACTGCCTATAATATTATATTAATATTACAAAGCTATTAAAATTTAATGAAGTTTAAATCACTATTTCATAAAAGTATTCATTGAATTAGTATACGAGCGTATATCTAGTATAACTAGTAAAAATTTTACACACATTTAGGTAAGTATATAATCCATTTAATGGTCATAAAAAATACTTGGTTGGACTTGGACATACATTTAAGTAGGGTATCACATTTTGTTTAGTATGAAATCTTAAAATAATATTAAATGAAATAAAAAATAATAATAAACAACTTAACAAATCACAATACTGCACAATTGGTACATTGTTAAAATATAATACAATTAGTTCGTAAATGTAAAAAAAAATTAAATACTAAATTCACATGGTTACAGATTACGCATAATATGTATATCACAATTAAGCACATAATCAGTAGTTCACATAAAATTAAAAAATAATAATGATAAATTAATATAATAAGTATTACATATTTCGAAGCTTATACAGAAAAAAAATACAACGTATTACACATTTTGAAGATTACATACGATAACATCTTACAATAAGTTTGAAACAACACAATAATGTTAACATTGTTTTTTTGTCCAAAATTATTTTTTGTCTTATCTACATGTCGGTTTTTAATAATAATAATAATAATAATAAGAAAAAACTAACTCATAAATAACTCTCACACGCACACAAAAATGTTACCAAGTATAAATTTTGGCACTGAAGAATATATTTAGCAAAGTTAAAAAAAAAATAGCGTGGTCATCGTAGGAATAGTAAAATCTTATGTATAACAATGTTAAGTTTTATTTTCAAATTATTACTTATAAAATGGTGTTAGCGTATTTTATTTCTAAGGTAGTAAATAAAAAATAGTGAAATGAATTTCTTAACACGTGTTAATTTAGCTATTTAAAAATTATACAACTACACTAAAATAATTTTTTTTTTAAATTCAAGAATTATAATATATTTTATTATGTACAGTTTTACAATAGTTGTCAATTCTATATGAGTGACAGACATTTATATTATCAATACGTACGCTATATCATTTATAATTTGTAATTTTTATGTACAAATATTATTTTTAAATAAAACAAAATTTATATTTAATGAACAAACAACATTGCAGTAGGAATAAGTATGTATAACGTTGAGCTATTTATTGAAATGCAAGAAACTAATATATAATTGATTGATATACATACATTATTTTCTATAATAGTACAGTAAAATATAAGTACAACACAGCCATTGTTTTGTAAATTTAACATTTTGTTGAACAAATTTAATAAAAAATACTTTTAAGTGTTGGTTAATCAAAAAATATAAACAAAGTGTGTAAAAAATATTTGAGGAAAATTCGGAACTATATCGATGAAAGTAAAATTTGTTTATTCATAATATTCATTAAAATGTAATATTATTCTTCAATTATGAATATCATGATAACATTTATGAAAATTAATTGATTTAATAAATTTAAAAAAACATTAAAAAATTAATTTGGCAAATATTTTTATTGATTAAAATAAAATTTGTATTTTAGCAAATAATAGTCATTCATACAGCAAATTTAATTTTAAATCAAGAATAAAATCTAACTTTGTTCAATTAAATAATTTATTAATACTGTTTGTAATTTATTTTATCTTATTAATTATTAGTTTAGTATATATAAGTGTAGTTTTTTTTTTTATTATTGATTTAGGTATTAAATACTTACTAAATGGAAAACATACAATTAAGTAAGTAGCAACAAACAATAAACAAAGTAAAGATATGTTTATGTTAACCATATCATATTAAATATACAGGTAATATGTAATGTGAGGAAAACTATTGAAATGGAATACTCTTAATTATGTCAGAACAGATTCAGAACGAATAAACTAATTGACATACAAGTAAAAAGATATTCATATTAGTAGGTAGTTCATTGTTTTTTTCCTTATAATATTGCATACATTTTTATTGAATACTATAAAATAAAATTTAAAAAAAGGCGAGGTTTGTTCCTATTATATGAGGCAATGATCGTGTATTAAACATGCATTGTTGCCATCATATAGTTAAAAATAAACTTAAAACAAAACAAGAGATCTTCTATAAATAATAAATAATATACATCCGTACGACAAAATAATTATACACAATTTCATATTCTTAAAAAATTATACGACGCGAATATTACATAATACTGACGATTTGAATAATTATTATTTGACGTAACGTTATTGCACTGAAGAGTATGAATTGATGTATTCAAACTCAATAAATTAATCACGACAACGGGGTTATTATTATTATTATTATATTGTTATTGGGGTTAGTTTATGTAAGAATAAAAAGGTCTGTAGATTTTTCAAACCCATTGTCCAAAACGAACTACGGTTCGCCAAGAAAGGAAATAAAACAGAGGGAAACTCATTTATTTAAAAATAAAAATGACTGTAATTTCGTTTGTTACCTATACAACAGTGTTGTATGGTATAATATTTGTGATGGATGCGTTTTCGTGTATTTATGTTTCGAAATCTTGGGTTATATATCATACTAGGTACTAACATAACATGTATAATATATAAATGGAATGAAAAAACTCACAAAAAAATTAACACTCGATAAAGACCGTTCGGAACATCGTTTGCAGAGCACATATATTTTTTTTTTTTTTTTTTGTATCTTTTTATTTTTGTCATTTGACGAATTAGTCGATTTACGCGAGAATTGAAGAAATCACAGATTACCAACCACCGTCCAACACGGCAATTATTGTAATAATGATATGTCCACGACTGATTGACGACGGTGGACACTGACCAGTTGATGACGACGATAATTACAAACGAGACGTATAAAAACGGAAGTAAATGCTTTTTGACTGTCAGGGGTAAGGAGGGGGGAGCGTTTGGGACTGAGATCACGAGCGCCGCGGTACGGCACGTGCAGTTTTTCGCGGTTCCGATCGGTATTCGACTGACGAGATTAAAACACGCAGATTAGCGACGACGTCGTAGGACGTGACGATAACAGAAAGAGAGTATCGCACGCATAATAATAATAATAATAATAATAATTATAATTATAATGATGATGAACAAAAAATTCGTAAAATTACCTCGTCGCGACGACTATCACGTTTTTTCGTCGGATTTATTTGCGTTAATGGCGGGTGCGGAACCGCTGCTGTTGTTGGCCTGCTTGTTATCGGTGGACGGAAATCGCATCAGATTGCTGTTGCCCGACGTGCTCGGCTGTTGTTGTTGCAGTGGAACGCTGTTCCGCTTGGGCCGGGACGCCGCGTCGTCGGTTTTCGCGTCCACGCCGGCGAACGACTTCCTCTGTTTGTTCGGCGGCGACGCGGCCACCGGGAATATCGGTTGGTGGCCATCGTGCTCTGTGGACGACATGCGCAGCAAGTCGATGGCCGCGTTGTTCTCGTATATGGGCTCGGGCGGCTGCAGTCTGCCCGCGGAGGCCGCGGCCGATGCGTTCTTGGGCTCTTGTTTAGCGGCCGCTCTGCTACTGTTGGCCTGCAGCTGCTTCTTCGTTTGTTGCTTGGCAGGGCCGACGCCACCGCCGCGCACCCGGTTGGCCCGGATCAGCAGGGCCGCACGCTGCTTGGTCCGATCCGGTCGCTTGTCTTTCGTCAGGTCCGGTTTGGACTTGCTGAGCTTGACGCTAAACTTGAACGGGGGCTTGTACACTACCTGCAAACTAACTTGATTGTCTTTGGTTTTTTGTTGAGCTTTGGGCACCGGTCTGGGAAGTTCGGGGGGGTTCGCGAAGCCGGCCGGCGACGACTTTGACTTCCTCAGTGTGCCGCCGAGAGCCTCGATGTGATGCGAGTTTAACAGCCAATTGCGAACCTTGCCCAGCGAATCGTCTTCGGGTGTTTTCTTGTTCGCCACGAGCACTTTGTTCTGGGCGACGCTGTAGTCGATGACGCCTTTCGATTTCTTTCGCCTAGTCTTTCGTTCTTTCTTTTGGGCAAGGCCAACTTTTTTCGGAGAAGACGTCTCTGTCGTCGACTCCTCCTCGGCTGCGACATTTTTGCGACTCTTTTTCGCGGGACTGTTATTGTTGTTTACATTACGTTTTTCACGTACGCGTTTTTTCAATGGAAGTTTCGAACGCACGGCAGCTGGATGAACAGTAACATTTTGATTGTCACCATCAGCTGGCAACCGGACAGTTTCCGTGGTCGAGCTGTGGATGATCGTCACCGATTTCAATTTTGGATCGGATCGTTTTCCAAACAACCGCGTACTTAGAACCTAGAATTATGTATAATTGAAATATTAGACGCTGTTATTATCATAATTAATAATATTATAGGTATGATTTTAACATCATATAATAACAATAAAGCCTACGATGACGACAATTTTAGCATATATTGAAATAAGTGAATACTATTTTGGACTTTGGTTTAAGGCTTATCCTTAAGATGTCTGTGTCTATTGTCTATGGATTATGATATTGTATTCTACATTGTGTAATTAATTGGGAAAGGAAAATACTGTGTAAGTAAATACTGGATTTTAGGATCTGTAGTTTCATACGGAGAATGACTTACAATGTGAATTCCGAATAACCTGAATACATTTATGCGTAATTGTGTTTATGAAAAAAAAAAAAATTAAGTAAACAGATAAATCAATATAAAAATAAATGTACATTAAACATTAAATATTATATTATATATGTATTATACTATTTAAATTATTAGATAAGTGTAAAAAAAATGTTAAACATACTAGCATCAACAGGAAAGAGGCCACAATTAGACCAGAATAGTACCAATGATCTATAGCCCATTTTTTAAATGAGGCAATACTTTCTTCAGATAATAACAACTTTCGAAGCGTTGCTAAAGGTCCTGACGGGTCAACCTAAATAAAACAAATATTCATTAATTTTTTTTTATATTGTCGTAATTTTTATATTTTATCGTAATCAATTCTATATTATACACATTTGTTTTTTATAAATTAATAATAATTTTATTATACATACTTCTCTACATCTTTGAAATACATCACAATACCCGTTGTAGTCGTTACATGGGGTACCTGGCTTAGAATACATATCTGGTATGTCGTATGGCACGTTATTCCAAGAATATGATGACCTAATTAAACGAAAATTAAAGGTAATTATTACAAAATTGTTTTACTCCCTTCATTTAAGTTGTCATATTTTTATATCTTTTATTTTATTATGTATTACTTGTTTAAAAATTATAATTTTAATTCCTCCCTAAAAAAGTATTACTCACAAACAAGGTTGATTTTCACCAGGTAGTTTACAACACAACTCGCACGCTTTTGTAGGAGAGTCCTGAGGGGTAGGTAAACATTGGCAGGATTCGAGTCCATATGCAAGACATATAGATCCAGTACATTCCTAAAAATAAAAAATTATCAAGTAAAAATAGAATATGGTAAAATGTAAAAAATATGTAAAAATATTATAATACTCACTCCCATGTAACACACAAACTCTTCATTGCATACAGTCTTATTTGGTTTGTTAATAGAAGCAGGACAGGTAGGTGTCATCCCATTGCAGTAACTAGCATCTCGGCAACCGTTGTCATTGCGACAAAGATCTCCTATTTTCAAATTGCAATCATTTGTGCAACATGGTCCCTAAAATTTAAATTAATATTTATCTATTATAGATGAACTAAAAACGCCACAACTGATGAGTTAAAAAATTGGGTACCTGTGAAGGGCTGCAAACACTATTTGCCGTTAATCTACACGGTGGTTCTTCGGGTCGTGAATATCTCCTTTGCGGGAAACAACATGCGTCTTTACAGTCCTCTTCCCACCCACAATCGCACTCTTCACCAGGCTCAACAACGCCGTTACCACAAATCGATGCTTGTGGTTCTGTGAGAATAGAAACAAACTGTTAATTAAATGACATACTGTTTACAGATGTAAAAAGCAAAATAATGAAATAAATAATAAAATCTGATTTGAATTATGATTATATTATGTACCAGTGAAACATCCTCTAGTACTTCTGGCTTTAACATTTAGTACAGGATTTATAGCAGACAAGCTACATGGCGAAAATCTATTATTATTTTTCTTGTCACCCGAAGTTGCTCGAGCGAACATAATATAGTTACCATCGTCGCCGCCCGGCGTACATGTTTCGGGGTCGTGCTGAAAGCAAATCCAGTTAAATTAATGGAAACATAAAAACTAATGACGAATGAATATCGTTTATTAAATTTATAAACTAACCGGTGAACCAAAGTTATGGCCAATTTCGTGTGCTAGTGTAACATGAGACACAGCGGAAGGTACATGTTTTCCGTAATTTAACAGGGTTACAATACCAGTGTTTAAACTTTTTAAACTACCCCGATAATGCTAAAACAAGTTTAATTATAATTATTATTAAATATGGGTTTTTGTTTTAAACGTTAAATCATCGAAGAAATTGTAGATACTCACTCCATTTTTTTCACATACACCACCAGCGTTCTTCAAATCCCCAGTCCACGCTAAACCTAGAGTACCCATTTCAAAATCTCTATACGTAAACATGTAAGCCAAACAAAAGGCATCGTAATCTTCCTCTGAAAAAAAGAATGAAACTTGGTGATAAATGATAATTTTTAATGTTATAAATATATTTTATAATATATAATAGTAGCAAGCGTAAAAATTAAAGTTATACTGGACGTAATATATCGATTTAATAATGAGTGTTTATGTAATACCTATATATTTTTTAAATAATTCAAATAATTTTCTTATTTTACTATTATTTAAGTGTAGATTGTAAATATTGAGAAAAAATAAAAATAAGAATGAGTGTGTAATGTATATGAAGTATTTTTTATTTTTATTGGATATTTAGATTTGGCTATGAAAATTGTTAGCATTTAATATAATAAATAAAGTATTGTATATTATTATGAAGATAACAATTTTCTAACAATAATATTATTAAGGATTTTTAAAATTTATATTACGATTTTTAAAAAGTGAAATTAATTATATATTAATTATTGGGTATTCAGCTTAAAAAAAAATTATACTTATTAAAATATATTAATTTAAATTTAATTTTACCTCTATAAAAAGATTCGTATTACAAATAATAAATATGAAACATAAGACTATTTAAACATCTATATGGATATATAATATAGAGGAACATAATATTCCAAATCCATAATAAATCGGATTTACTACGTTTTTGTAATATATTATAACTATAATATTACATAATTATTTATACTTCTATAAAATTATTTTTTTGAAATACTTTAAATACTTTTACTAATAAGTAAAATAGTAATAATATGATAAAATATAAATATATAATTATTGGTAACATACCTAATAAAATTAATATATTATAATATGATACTGAAAAATTTTTAGTTGTCAATTTCCTCATTTTATATCTAACTTGTAAAAGTGATAATTATTTAGAAGTGTTATAAAATTGAATTATTGATATAATATAAAGTGATATTACTTGATATATCCAATATCTAATATAAGCATTTTTAATTACCATTTTTTTTAAATTTTATTCATATATTTTCAGAGGAACTAAATAGGGATATGCGTTTAGTTTCTCACTAATAAATAACACATATTATACAGTATAATTTATTTATATATAGAGTGAACGAGCAGTTTTTGAGTTAATAAACTTTGTGTACTAAGGATAATTGATACATAATAAATAGTTTGGAACATATATGGGCTATGGTGCATTAAATATGTTAGAAATTAATATTAATCTATCAATATTTATAAATTATAATTAGTTAATTTTTTTATGAATTTTTATTCTTAATATAAACATTTTAATAACTGAAAAAAATATTTTATAGTTTGAATATTAATTTTGGTACTTCAACATTTTCAGAAAAATTATTTATTAAATAATTTACAGTAAAAGGGTAGTTCTCATTTGAAAAACAAGAATTTGTATAGACACAGGACAAAAATTAGTACCAAAAATCTCAAAGATTTGAAAATATTGTCTTTAAGTTTAATTAATAATTCTAATAATAAAACGTTGAAAAAGTGCATGCCTAAAGAAAAACCTAGCCATCGAGCATACTATAATATTGAAACGATTGTGTCGATAATGGGTTAGCTTTAAAACTATTGACTCTATTTACATGGTGTTTTTTGTATACTATAAATAATTTCTCAAAAACCATCATAATATTAGACTTTAAACAACCAACCCCAACTTTTCTTCAAAGAAAATGAAGCGTTGAAAAAGTAATATACTCTTGGCGCTATCTGTTTGGTTTTTATCATATTAAAAAAAAAATAAATAAATAAATTCATCCGTGTAGAGACAGGTAATTAATATAGCTAATATATAAAAATACATTATGTAATAAAATTTATATAAAATGTAAGCAGTATGCATAAACAATACATACATATTTTTTATTTCCAAGGTTTTATTAGATATGTGGTACGTATTAGTGTTCATAAAATATGTACATTTCATTTTGTTATATACAGTTTTACCAACTTGAAATTGCCTTTTACACTTAACTAAACTTTTATAAGACTCTAAACAGTTTTATCATTTAATTAAGTAAACAAACTATTGAAACTCGTTTTTATTTTTTTAATCGATTTTTTTTTTTACTTTTAAGACTTAACTATTTGTGTTACCTATATTATTAATTTACATAATAAAGTGTCTTCATACAACACATATATGAAAAAAAAATAGTATAAATAATGAACAATATTTGAATTTAAAAATGTTGAATTCATCTCAAATATTAGTCACCTACATATGTTATTAAGATTTAATAGATCTAAAGATAACTTGTTTTTAGATATATTAATTAGATTTAAAAGTTATATTATATTTTGATCGTTTTTTAGTGTAACTGTGCTGCTTTTAAATTTTAATTAAACAATTTCTTTTTAATGTTTAAAAAATAATTTTAACAATTAATATGCGTATAAATTGTTGTTTTAGTATAAAAAATATTTAATTTATTTAATAATCTTAGAATTAAATTGTATATTTTTGCAAAACACGTTTACCTTGAAGTCTCAAATTATTACCATTTAGATATAATGTGTGATCGTTTCCTAAACGATTTTACCTTTTTAATGTTTGCATTTTTGTATTTTAAATCAATAAATAATACCCATGTCTACTCACTATAGTCACTAATATCTATATATTAATATGTTCTTTCTAGTTGACCATTAACAGCAACTTATCACCAAGATATGTTTCTCTTTATTTCGTTATTATTGTACCCTGACAATATTAGCGATAGAGATAAAACTTTTTTACCCTACTAAAGTCATTAAGTAACGTTTGTGGTACTCTTTGAAGCAGCTTTTATAAATGGAATTTTAAATGAAGAAAAAGATAAAACAAAAAACAGAGCCCATCAGTCTATACGTAAAAATAAATGCATAAAAAATAGCACCGGTGGTGTTAAAGGGTCTTTTGTGTTGACCTTTTAGAGCGTAAAAATACCAATTGAGTAGTAAAATCATTTTATAAACTGGAAGAATGTTTTCTTTACCAAATAATATAAAATTCACAGAGTATGAACTTTGTGTGTGTCTATTTGATTCTGACTTACCCGAAAATATTTCTAAAAATTTCTCTACTCCATAATTCCCCAGGAACTTGTAGGTAGGGTCTGGGTTAGAGTGCACTTTCACCCTCTTAATCATGAAGCTTATATTGTCTGGTTTACCGTCTTGATTAAAGTCTGAAAAAAAAAAAAACAAATAAAATTAATAACATTGTTCTAATAAATTGTTCTCGTTTTATAGTTAGTCTATAGATTTTTCTATTTTTTTTCATGTAATGAGATGTTTTCATAAAAATAAAATAAGTTATTGATCAACTAAAATTATATTTTGTGAAAATATAATACACGATTAATAGAAAAAAAAGTAATTTTAATATTATTAAAGCTTTTCGCATAGGCAAAATTATAAAAAGTTATAGATAAGTTAAACAGTGAAGCATATTAATTTTGTCATTTTGAAATTATTTTTATACTTATTATTCTGTACTTCATATAATAATAATAATTATTAAAAAAAAAATTATTATTACATATTTTATGTACATCGTACGTGTGATGACATAATTTTTACGAAATACCAGATTGTAACCTGATAATTTAGACGAATATATATTAATAATTCAATAATACGAGAAAAATAATATCATGCTAAATTATGCAGATGTTTGTGATACCTATTTTAAAACTATGCTTTTTTATAAAAAATGTATTCTTATATTAATGAAGCAAAAACAACAACAAATTATATATGCAAATAAAAAAGTAAAGAAAAAAATTATTATTATTATTATTTTTTTTAATTTAAAATAAAGGCTTCAATAGCATGGATTATTAACCTACAAAAATTATTATGATTTGTGAATAAAACGTATCATTTATATTAACTAGTCAACTGCTTGAGTCAACAAAAATATTAAACTAAGAAGTAAATAAGATGATTGTATATCAAATATTGGCGTCATACTAATAAGTCAAATATTATAAAATAATAAAAATTAAAATTAAACCTTGTTTCATATTTTTAACCCGATGGGCTTTAGCTTAATATTTTAAAACTCATATAAGTAATCAGAGTATTGTAGAAAGCTTGATTTATTATATTATTTTCAAATAGTTATACCTTAAACAGCTTAAACTAAGATCATATTTTTATAAAAAAAAAAAATGTATGATTATATATTTATAAAAAAACCCACACTGAAATCTACTAGTGATAGAAATATAGAAGTTTTTTTATATATTAGGTACTTGTTGGAGATATAAAAAAATATTAATGCTAAAACCTTTCTTAGAAATAAAAACTAAATTATAACTAAGTCATTATAAATTATCCGAAAAAAAATATTGTAGTTTTTAAACACAACATTAAGGACAGTACCTATTATCTCACTATGTTAGAATATTATGTAATACTTTATTTCTTATTTAACTTTTTGATAAGTCGCAACTTATCTTATAAACTCTTAAGAAAATATACAATGAACCATTGTTGCCTTATTTTAAACAAAAAGACTATTGTATTTGAGTTATCCTTTTTTTTTACTTTGAGAATTATATAAATTGAATAAATATTTAAATAAATATTTTAATCATCATTATAATTTATTATTACGTTTTAAAATAATGTTTAATGTTTAAACACAATATAGACAGTAGCGATGTCGGAATATTAGAAATATAATATGTTTACTAATATTAGTTTTAAATTTCTTGATTAAAATTATATATCTTAACTATTCTTCTTTAGTTTGGTATATTGCAAAAAAAAAGTTGAGATAAAGATAAGACTTATTTAGAACTTTTCATTGAAAATAATCAATGGTTTAATTAAAATTTTGTGTGGTATTCGTATCAATAGAGCAAATTTAATAAAAATTCAAACGAAGTTCTCTGTATAGCAAAAAGAAAAGAACCTATAAATTCTTATTCTAAAAATATTTGTGGCAGACAGTATTCTATACAAAGAATTAAACAACTATTTAATTAATAAAACAAATGAAGATTTTAAAGGAGATTCGTGATTAATCTAATCTGAGAGTACTTCTACTATTTAAATAAAAATTGGTAAAATTTGAATAAGGTTAGAAACTAGATGTTCAAGTTTCTTTATAAATAAAAACATAAATAATAATTTTATAATTATAATGAATTTTGGTCAGTAATTTATTACATAATGTGCATATTCTCATTTATATTCAATTGATGACCTTTTAAATTTAACAATATCAACAGCCAATACATTTAATTATCAAAAATGTATATTTTATGTTTTATATAATTACATTCAAGATGAGATTAAGCGTGAAAAACATTCACTAATAAGAAGAGAATTAAAGGAAATCTTAATGGAAAGCTTTTAAAATTGAGTTTAACCTACGGGCGAGAAATAGTATCAGCATATCTACAGATTATACGGTGTAATATATGACGTTCATTATTTTAATTCAGTGTAAGGCCAACAAGGATTTTCGTAAAAATTCCAATTCCAATTTAGTAGAAGCCCCTACTTAATATTTATAACTCGAGTCCGGATTTTGACTGCTTATAAAAACAAAGGCGGGGTAAAAAAATAAAATATTCATATGGTTTTAAAAATACAGGCGCGAAATGATTACTTTACTTTAGTTTCCGTTTTAGAAAACTGTATAATATATATCAGCAAAAGATAGAATTAATAAAATGGTTTTCAAGACTTTGTTAGTTATTCAAAAATAAAAAGATAAAAAATAATATTAATGCATTTATGAATTTTTAATAAATCTATGAACTATTTCTAAAATTATACAAAACTGAAAAATTACAAGAAATAATATAGGAATGGCTCTTCAAAATATTTAATTTATAAGAAATCCATGTAATTGTATTAAATAATTGAAAATCTTAGTGAAAATAATCGTTTATATATATATATATATATTATACTCGTATATATATATATTTTTTTTAATATATTGAAATCAAGAAATAATATCTTAATAAGCTGAATTGTAAAATTGTACAAATACAATATAAATACAAAATTAATTTAATATTTCAACCTATATTAGGCATTGCAGTTTTACTAAATAAACTCTATATATTAAAAATTAAAAAGTTTCTAAAACCATTATCATAAATTTTCAAAGCGACGTGTAAGTTATTCAAATGTCTTTTTTGTTATTGTTTTTTGATGGAGCCTTATTCATAAACTGAAATCAGCAAATGTTAATAGAAGTATAATAGTAGTAGTCTGGTTCACATTAAATTATGTAATCAACATTTTGTATTTTGTATCCTAAAATAATTAACCCACGTTGGAAGCTAGTAGAAGATATCAAATTAATTTACTATTATAAGAATATATATTTTTTGTAGAGAGTTTACACTTATTTATCATTTTATCTAATTCGAATCAAAATTTTATATTAACTAAAAATAAATAAAAAAATACATTAACCGTTATTTTAGACGCAAGAAGGAGTTTTCAATAATTTAACTAATAAAATGGACAAGGATCTACTTTCTAATGATTAATTCTACGAAAACACATATTATGATGAATATACCTATTTATGTAAGGAATATGTTTTGCGTTGACTTATTAGTTATTGACGTGTAAATTAGTTTGAGAAGTAAAATAAATATAAATTTTGTAAATATAATTAAAAACTGAAAAACAGCCGAAAATCAATAAATTTCATTATAATATTCAAATTGTTGGTAAAAAAAAAAAATGACATGTATTTTTATGTTTTAATCACGGTTTTTTCTTGTAGGCGTTAAAGTTAACTATAATGAGTATAATCTATACTCATACATCAAAATTAATTGCTTTATTATACACTAAAGTTCTTTATTTTGGATATTGTGCAGAGCTATGAATGTATTAGTTCTAAAATAATGTGTGTGCTTTTTTTTACATCTGTCATCGCCTTTTGGAACAGTAAAAATGTTTAAATTTTAAATTTTTAGAATTGTTTATGTTAGTAAATTTTATCTAGTTGGTACTTTAAGGAAGTTATAACTTAAATACAAATAATCATAGAAACATTATTGTGCTAACTATAATTATTTGAAATATTTTTTTGATTTTATTTTCGATTTATAAAAAATAAAATTTATATTATTGAGTAAAAAAAAATGTTTAAACATATATATTATATAATAAATATTTATACCTTCTCGTATATTTATATAAGCAATTAATATTCAATATTTTAACAAAATTCATAAAAAATCACGAAATTTAGAAAATTTTGAGATATTTACTTAAAACTCATTGGAATATTTTAGATAAATTTAGAACAAATTAATTTTTCACAATAATACACAAAATAAATATCTTGTTTGCGTTTCTAATCTTATGTAATGGCGCGCAAAAAAATATTGATATTTTCATGATAAATATTACACTTGGTAAGAAAAATAACTTAGTGATATTTGAAAATAAGAAATAGTAAAAAAACTCGCAAATCAAGGTTAAATCGATATTAGTTATTACTTGTATGCACTAATTTTAAATTTGAACTAATAGGTACAGTTAAAGATTTGACTAAGTGGAAGACCGCGATTATTATTGACGATTGATGGATTTGGTTCTTCAAATATTCAATATTATTTTAAGCTATTGTGTAGTATTTCCATGTGGTTAAAAACATAGTTCAAATATATAATACTATACGACAATAATAATAATCAAACTACGAGAAACAGACAAAGTAAAAGCGCTTCATTCTCTCGTGTTAAATTATGATTGGCAAACATATAATTATTATTAAGAAAAGTTCGAAATACATTTTTTTAAATAATGTGTAAATTGAATAGTTTTATAAAGTTTACTGATTATTGTATTGTTAATATACTGATGTGAATGAGATGTTTATACTTGAAGAAAGTTATATTACTACATCAACCATTGTCATAATGTTTCTTTGTTCAAATTGGTATCATCAACGATATTTCAGTGATACAAAAAATAGTTTATCTAAAATTTTGTTGAACGAAAAGTAAAATAAATGATAGATAGATGCTGATTGATGAGTATCTATTAATATTTTAATAAGGTACCTAATCGATTTTATAAATTTTCAAACTAGCCATCCAGACTTATTATAAAACATATTATTGTAGAATGTAGATATTAGTTAATTCTAAACAAAAATTATTTTATAAATATAACATTTTAAACAATATATCTG